GGTCCTCCTGTCTACGGCTGCTGTGCTGGGGGAGGTGGGGCTGCTGGTGCCTGAGGCAACCTTGCCCGTTCTTCCCTTGTCCTAGTCTCATCGACAAGGTCTCTTAGATGTCCTTGTCTCACCAAGTCTTCCAAATATGTTTTCAGGGCTCTACAACCCTGAGTTGTATGCCCATCTTCATTGTGGTAGGCACAATGTCTGCCAATGTTTCTTCCCATGAACTCTCCTGGAGTCCTCTCTGGCATTCTGAAATAGGGTTGGTTCCAAATTTGATCCAGGACTTTGGGAATTGGGATTCGGAACACTGTTGTTACTGCTTGTGTGACTCTCAGTTCTGCCTCTTGCCTACTCGTTCCATTGTTACCTCAGCCTCGCTTCGGTGAGCCGTTTTCTTTCTCTTATTTTATCTCCCTGGTTCCCGATATGTCTTCTTCGGCTCTGGCGTACTTCTCGATTCTTGCCATGAGCTCCTCCATACCTTTTGGCAATGTCTTTGCCAAAGACTTTCGTAGTGGACAGTTATCTTTCAAGCAGTTCTTGAAAGATACGACTGCCACCTCTTGATTACATTCGAGTATTCGATTGAACACCTCATAGAATCTTTTTGCGTAGGCCCTAAGGCCTTTATCCTTGCTGATCTTTAGAGCCATCAATGCATCCACCCTTAATGGCTGCAGCTTGTTTGTCACAAACCTGGCCACAAACATCTCGGTCAAGCCTTCCCAAGTCTTCACGCTTCCCTTCGATAGTTTATGGAACCAATCTGATGCAATCTCCCCGAAGAATGAGGGGAACACTTTGCAGAGCAACAGCTCGTTCCCACTATACAATGCCATTGAATTCAAATATAGTCCAACGTGGAAGTTGGGGTCTGACTTACCATCGTATATTTGAAACCTCAGCATACTGAATCACTTTGGTGCCTCAAATCTGTCTAATTCCACCGAGAATGGTGTCCTTGGTTTATCTGGAGAGGTTACCTCGGCTTCGGCATTCTGTTACTTCCTTTTGAGGTAATCTCTTAAGTCTTCTTTGCTCCGCCCAGGAGCTCAGCTATCTTTCAACTTCAGTCTTTTCGGTATACTACTCTCAGCCTTGTGGTGAGCCCTTTTCGATCCTTCTCCATGAGTTGTGTCGAAGCACAGTGCCTGCCCCTGAACATGCCGATGTCCTTTGGGGTCTGCCTCCTTTGTGCGATATGTCCTCCGTGATTCTTCTCTTCTTGATTCTCTTCGCCCGTCCTTCCTAGAAGGTCGGTGAAAGTATCTCTCGTTTCTGTTGTGCTGAGGGGCTACGGGGATTGTTTTCTATCCTCCCTTCTGGGTATTGGCCGCTTGAATCGGCGTGTCCTGCAGCGGGAACGGTGGCTGCATGATGTTATTTTGCATCATGAAATTGACGACCGACTGCAGGTCTGCCAATTTGTTTGCCATCTCTTTTACCTCTTGTCCCTCCGTAGGCACCTATCCTTCCAAATTTGGAGGTCGTCCTCGTTGTAATACCTGTTTTGATCAGGTTTCTTCGGTGCATCGCCAGTCTGGCCGACGTCTTTTACTCTGCGAGTCTGTTCATGAGTTTCTGCGTTTGACCTTTCTCCTTCGCCATCAAGGTCAATAGGTCTCCCACTTTTAGTAGGAGTGTCGTCCCCAATCTTTTCCTTCTGTCCGTTACTGGCCATCTATTCTACTTTCGTTCCCACAGACGGCGCCAAATTGTGTGAGTGATTTTCCGATCACACTGCCCAACTCATTACTTAGCTAGAGAACACTGACAGAATAGATGACACCTGACTAATCTATAACAGAAAGAGAAGATTCCGACGGTAGTTCGTCCACCCGGGGGCACTCCGACGATCAAGTCAGTATATTTCTCAGAGATAATCAATAATGCTAAACTCAATGCTCAAAGCATAAAATTGCATACCTTAGACCCACGGGGGTGCCTCTCTTTTATAGTTACCTCAATCCTAATCTCAATAGAAGCCTGACTTCTATAGATTCATGTTCAGTACTTACTTTGGACTCCTTCAGAGATAAAGATAAACTCCCTAAGAGCTTTATCCTTATCTTGGCTAAGTCTCCTCTTTATTCTAGGACTCTTGTCCCTTATCCACTTTTCTCGGACTCCGATATCTTCGGAGATAACCTCGGCTTAACCGAGATCACCTCGGCGTCATGACCCTGACACGTGGCACCTCGGCTGACACGTCGGCGTCACCTTGCCACGTGTCGGTACTAAAAAATATATCCCCACACATATAGGGGTGCAACTCGGGCCGGTTCGGTCGGGTTGGAAGGTTGTCCAAGCCTAGCCCAAGTTGTGCTGAGACCTGCCCAAGCCCGCCCAAGCCCGAGTTGTAACCCAAGATTGTCTGCCTAAGCCCGACTCGAGTTAAACTCGAATTAGCCGAATTGCCCGAATTATAAGTGAATTTCAGTTTTTTTGTTTTTTTTGTAGCTACATTATTAAATTATTAAAATTTGACTCTATTTACAATTTTTTTTAATAGAAAATCATTAATACCATCAAAACAAATAATTTATATAATGTAATAGATATACCACTATAGTAGTCCTTACAATTTATAAGTGAAAATAAAAAGAAAAAAATGTAAGATTTTATGTTATTTGTATATATAATATATATTCAATATGATTTAATAATATAAATTACTTTAATATCATGTAATGACTAATAATTTATATGTATATTTAATATTTTTATATATCTATATATGTATAATTCGAGCTTCGGGTTGCACGGGTTGTTTGACATCTTTGCCCAAGCCCGCTCAAATTTAATTCGGGCTTTCTGAATTTTTGTCCAAGCATGTACCAAATTTGAAATATTTTGTCCAAACCCAAAAAAAATTCGGGCTGGACTCGGGTTGCTCGGGTTGAGCCCACCCAAGTTGCACTCCTACTTACGTATTTTTAGATTTTTTTTTATTTCTCTTTTTAAATTTTTACCCAAATTCATGATTCTAAGTTGAGGCAAATTTTAGTATGTTTAAACTTATTTATTAAGATTTTAATAAGTTCAAACTCGAACTCAATAAAAATTTAACAAACCAAACTCGAACTTGTTTATGAGCCTTAACGAGCAAAAAAAATAAAAATAAATTTATACTTGTATAAGAGATTAAAGTTACAGTTGAAACTTTAATTATACAATTATATATACAATATTTATAAATATACTAAAAAAAATGTTTTACCACAATAATAATAATATCTACCACCATTAAATGTATTTTCTATAATTAGCTATTATTTATATTTATATTTTTTTAATATATAAATAATATATTTATCTTATTTTTTATACATATTTTTATATATAAATAATAACACCGCTATTGTGCTCGCAGGTGATCGGACAGAAACGGAGCTTGGAAGAAAGGAGTACGGGCTTGCCGGAATATTTGCTCCCCGTACAAGTTCGAATTCAAATTTGAACATAAAAAAAATTAACAAATCAAGTTCGGACAAGTTTTTACCAAACCTACTTCAAACATGTTTATGAACGACTTCATTCGTTTGTAATCCTAATCATAACCGTCACCTTTACTACTTCTCTTTCCTTGCAATGTAAATGTAAAATTTCAAAATTGAAAAACATAAAATAATATTAATAACAATTGTGGGATAATAGTGTAATTAACCTTTAACAAATTACATGGTGTGAATGTAATTAAATCAAGTTTGGGGAGAATTTTATTTTGCACGCTCCATACTCTATACCTGGCCATGTTTATTTGCTTTTTGAAGAGGGAGATGAGATTAATAGTTCGTGAGATCTATCTTATAGAGTGTTTGGTTAGGAACATAAGTGAGAGATTTATTATTTTCTTGGACTAATAACTCTCTATTGGTAGGATTACCAGTTCCATCGTAGGATTGGGATTAGAAATTGAGTGAAGGAATTAGTGAATTTTTAAATAATTTTTAAGCAAAATTTATATTTTTTAGAACAAAAAAATAATAATTATAATATTAAAAAAATAGTAAAAATTAAAAAATATTATTTTATATATTAATGCTATCTATAGTATTATTAATCTAGTGGTGTATGAACAAATACTTTTTATACTACATACTCAATTTAATACTATCACATTAATAATTTTCTCACTTAATTCTACCGTACTTTTAATCACATTCATCGTATAGAGCCAAACAAACATGGTCTCTTAGTTACGTAATTTTCTTCTTTAATTATGATTAATTTTTTTTCTAATTATAATACAATTTTAAAATATTTAATTATAATTTTTTTATTTAATTATGAATTTTTTTTTAATTGTAATTTAAAAATTATAAAATTATGTTTTTTTTTTTTGTAATGATAAGCGGTATATAGATACATCCTCACTGGAGGTGTTCGCGGTTCGGTTGCGGTTGAAAAACTTTTAATTCGCCATCAGTCTGTCGGATGGGCGGATTGAAAAAATCAATTCACATCCGTTCTCCGAATTGACAGATGTGGATTGACAGATTGATACGAATCAATTTAGTGGTTTAAATTTTTATAAATTTTGAACATAATACAACTTGTCAATATTTTTTTGGATAACAATAAAACTCACCATAACCTCAAGTAAATTGTCAAATACTAATAATAAATACATATAAGAAAATCATGTATTATCAAAACTATTTTATTACTTTTTTTTATTCAAAAACTATTTAATTTGATTTTTAAACAAAATGACAAAATTAAACCATATATTTTTCACACAAAAATACCAAATATCAACCATTGTCATTTGATAAAAGAATTTATAAATTAAAAACAAATTAAAAATATAAACAAAATATTTAATAAATTAAAAATATAAAATTTTACAAATTATTAATAGTACTCACGGTTTAACGGTTTAATTGTAACCGAAAAAATCTCAAATCTAACCTCCGTTAAAAATTAAATAAACTAAAAAAAATGAACAAAAATGCGACATATTAATTCGATTAGATCAATTTCGAGAGATGAAAATATCCGCTGCTCACCAAGTTTTTCCCACAGGGACCTTCGTCTTCACTTTCCTCTCTTTGTCGTCTCGTCCTTTTTGTTATCGTTCATTCATCCCCTCCTTTTCCACTCTATTTTCTGTACACGATTTCCACAAATCTGAGCGCTCTCTCTCTCTCTCTTTCTTTAGGGTTTGCACCTCCACTCCAAACATGGCTTCAACCATCGACCAAGGTACTCCCTCTCTCTCAATTCTATTCTTTCTGTTATGTACCGCACATCGATCGATCAAATTTTCTCGGTATAATTTCCATAGTTATTTTCCCTGAAAATGAAAACCAAGCTGATACAAACGAGCTAAATGAAGCTAATTTTTGTAAATTTGTATATATATATATATATATGTTTGGCCATAGATAGTTTTTGTATGTTAATTGTTGAGTGATTGATTAGGAGGAGAAAGAGATTTAGAGAAGGGACTCATGGCTCCGCCGCCGAACCAAAACCCTCTGGCTGAGCCGTCGCCGTCTCCGTCTCCGTCGTCAGCGACTGCTCCGGCTCTAGTCTTGTCGAATTCCGGCAAGCGAATCGATCAGGCTGGGAAGAAGAAGTACGTGAAGCAAGTGACTGGTCGGCACAACGACACCGAGCTGCATTTGGCGGCGCAGCGGGGCGATCTTGCGGCGGTGAAGCAGATTCTGGACGATATTGATACTCAGATGGTGGGGAATCTCAGTGGAGAGGACTTGGATGCTGAGGTTGCGGAGATTCGGGCCTCGGTTGTGAATGAGGTGAACCAATTGGGGGAGACGGCGCTGTTTACGGCAGCTGATCGAGGTCATCTTGATGTTGTGAAGGAGTTGTTGAAGTATGCGAGAAAGGATAGTATTTCTAAGAAGAATCAGTCTCAGTATGATCCTCTGCATATCGCTGCGAGTCAAGGACACCATGGTGATGATCTCAACTTTGTTAAGCAATTTGGCTTATTATAAATTGTTTAATTCCAATTTGTCTGTATTTGGGTTTGTTCATATTTCATTGTCATGCCTTATAATTTGAAAATGTGCTCATGGTTCTTAAATTGCGGTATCATTGGCCAATGAGTAGCGGGAATCGGAAACCAAGCTCGTGAATTTTTTTGAAGCACTAGCAAATGCCAAAAACCTTATTGATAAGAATGTTTTAACCATATTCATCACAATTTGAATGTTTGTAAAAAATATTATGAACATTACATAACGACTGATATTTCAGTACTTGGTCTGGCTTGTATGCTGCAATTGGGTGTAAAAAACTGAGTTCATTATCTTAAGAAAATGAAGGATCAGGTTTTATCAGTGACATTGAAATTAGAGAAGTTGCATATGAAGTAGTTTGTCTGGTTGCTATTACAATATTTCAATGGGTTTATCGTAGATACTATCATTGATTGCCTCGAGTTCTTTAGTTAGTAGATATATCTTAGCTTATTTATAAATTTTAATTGTTTTTACAATATCTAAATGCTTTTGAATTCATTGAGATATCTTCTCCAAAGGATGAACATGGTGTTGAAGTTCTCTTAAAAAGTCTCCATTTTTAAAGTTTTGGAAGTGCTCTAATTCAACACGCAGGTTGAATGTGGATGTGGAATGACATATACCAAAAAATTTGTTGATTTACCATTACTTTTGTGAATCTGCAGGTGACCGGATATGTAGTTTACTATACAGCCTACATTTATTTTCTGTGACAAAAATGTTTCTTCCTGCTAGATTTCCATCCCTGAGTTATATTTGTTCCGTACAAAACCGGGCGGGTAAACTTAAAGTGACTCTTTAATTGCAGGAATTGTCCAGGTGCTACTTGACCATGACCCAGAGCTAAGTAAAACGATTGGCCCATCAAATGCAACCCCTCTGATATCTGCAGCTACAAGGGGGCATACAGCTGTAGTTAATGAACTGCTGTCAAAGGATTGTAGCTTGTTAGAGATTTCTAAATCCAATGGCAAAAATGCATTGCATTTAGCTGCCAGACAGGGACACGTGGACATTGTGAAGGCATTGCTTGACAAAGATCCACAATTGGCAAGAAGGACAGACAAGAAAGGGCAGACCGCATTGCATATGGCTGTAAAAGGGGTTAACTGCGACGTGGTCAAATTACTTCTTGAGGCTGATCCAGCCATTGTGATGCTGCCAGACAAGTTTGGCAACACTGCATTACATGTAGCTACCAGGAAAAAGCGAGCAGAGGTATAGTTTGGTGTTGCTGAATTTTTCTTGAACCTAATTTTTTCCCCGAACATTCAATGATCCAATTTGCCTTTACCAAGAATTATTGATGTAAAATTATATGGTCCTTTGTCAAGCTTTTTATAGGGGATTTCAAAAAGGCTTTAAGCTTCTTATAATTTTCTCAAAAGATTTGAATTTTGCAAGATCCAACATACAGAGGCTGAAAGTTGATTTTTGTTTAACTTTTTGACTTTGCAGATAGTGAATGAGTTGCTACGTCTCCCAGACACCATTGTTAATGCACTGACCAGAGATCACAAAACAGCTCTTGACATAGCCGAAGAGCTTTCCCTCTCCGAGGAATCCTCTAATATAAAAGAATGCCTTTATCGCTATGGTGCTCTTAGAGCTAACGAACTGAACCAGCCAAGGGATGAATTGAGAAATACCGTGACTCAGATTAAGAAAGATGTCCACACGCAGCTTGAACAAACTAAGAAGACCAACAAAAATGTTCACGGGATTGCTAAAGAGCTCAGAAAACTACACCGTGAGGGAATCAATAATGCCACTAATTCAGTGACTGTGGTTGCTGTGCTTTTTGCTACAGTTGCCTTCGCTGCTATTTTCACCGTACCAGGTGGGGATAAAGACAGCGGAATGGCTGTGGTGGCAGCCAACGCTTCTTTTAAAATATTCTTCATCTTTAATGCTATTGCGCTATTTACGTCCTTGGCTGTTGTGGTAGTTCAGATTACGTTGGTTAGAGGAGAGACAAAAGCTGAGAGACGGGTTGTGGTAGTGATTAACAAGTTGATGTGGTTGGCTTCGGTTTGCACTTCCGTGGCATTTTTGGCCTCGTCTTATATAGTGGTTGGTCGGAAACATGAGTGGGCTGCAGTTTTGGTTACAGTTGTTGGGGGAGTTATAATGGTTGGGGTTCTTGGCACCATGACCTACTACGTGGTGAGGTCAAAGAGGTCTCGGTCGATGAGGAAGAGAGAGAAAAGTGCGAGAAGCGGATCCAACTCTTGGCATCACTCTGAGTTCTCCAACTCGGAAGTTGATGTTGATCGGATTTATGCCCTTTGATCTGCAAATTCGTAGCCGTTGATATTAGGCCTGTTTATGTCTATTTTGCTAGAGGAGAAGAGGAAAAATGGTGGTTACTTTCATTTTGTGCTGCATATATGGAGTTCAAAGACTATGAAGTTTGAAATTTTGCTGGATGGTGCCTACATTGTGGTCTGAGTTTCAAATCTGCCAAGTACTTGGCATATTGGTTAAATGGCTTTGAGCAAATTGGAGGGACCAAAATAACTTGAGCATGAAATGATGTGAAATCAATGCTGTCATTTTCAGCTTCAAGAACACAGGTTGAACATTTGAAGCTATGCTAACAATCAACATGATGTTGCGGGTGGATATTTCGACTTTTTAATATTCTACTTGTTTAAATGTTGCGTAATATTCTCAGCTCAACTATATCCTTAAAACTTTTCTGAACTATTTGGCATCATTAGCCAACACTGCAACCCCCAGATACTGGTATAGATTTTGGGTAATTGGTGGTTGTATGGTAGCTATCATTTTCCGAGCGTCTACGGACGACATTTGAATGAATTATCCTTCATGTTCCATCTATGAAACACAGGTACAAGTATTGGTGCTGATACGTTACGAGCAAGTACGTTGATATGATAAAATTTTAAAAAAAGTAAAGTACGGGTACAGGTTAGTACGTTTGTAAAAAATGATTTATTTTTAATTTGGAGTGATGTAAAAAGTAATTAAATGGTTTAATTTGTTAAGGTTCAATTTACAATTAACATTTAATATCAAAAGGAAAGGTATACATCAAAATTAATGTCAATATATTAAATAATTTATAAATTATAGTTTAATTTTAAAATCATACTAAGTATAAAATAAAAAATACAAAAAAAGTTTAGTAAAAGGAATTTTATTTCTGTGGTAGAAGAAAATATTGTTTCAATTGAGATATGGTACTTGGGTATATACTAGGTATGTTTGGGTACGTTAAAAATTAAGATGAAAAAATTTGGGTACGTGTTTCGTGTACCCGGTACATATGCGGAAATATCATACGAGGTATCATATGCTGGTAAGTATTCAGTACGAGTACAGTATATTTTGCGAAATATCCATACTTCTTAGTGTTCCATCTTTAAAATTTTGTCTTGCTATCATGTTTATTAATAAAAAAGATAAAAAAATAAAAAAAAAGAACAGTGAGATATTTTTCTTCAGCAATGTTAGAGGGCTACAATTTTTGTGGTCACAATGGCTCAAAACTGTCAAAACGACGTCGTTTTAGCATGTTTTGCACCCAAAACGATGTCGTTTTGACAATTTTGAGCCATTGTGACCACAAAAATTGTAGCCCTCAAACATTTTTCATTTTTCTTTTCTTCGGACTCCCACCTGGCTATAACATGTTGGTAGCTATGAGAGAAAGCGAGACCATGAAAGAAAAGAAGGGGAGGAGGGAGAAGAGAGGAGGTTTGCAGTGGTGATGAGGGCTGTGGGAGGAGATTCTTGGTGGTGGAGAGGGGCTGGGGAGGGTCGGATGGGGCTGTTGGAGATTGTGTGGTGGTGGCCAAAGGTGGCAAAGGTTGAGGTTTCAAACCAGTAGCCATGAGGGTATAATTAGGATGAAGGTGGGTGTTAAAAAAAAAGGAAGGGGTAAAGTTCAACTTGTCATGTTAGGAAAAAGGCAACAAATTTACTTTTCACGACTGTCCTAGATTTTTATTTATGCTCCTAAAATGATGTATTTGGGTAACTTAATTTGAAATCTTCTCTAATTGTTCCTAAAGTTGTGTTTGGATACGTTGATTTGGCTTTGAGAATGGATTTGAAATTCATATGGATTTCAAAAAAAAAAAAAACACCATACATGACAGTTTTGGGGTAAGACATTTTATCAAGCACCAATCCTTAGTTTTCCTTTGGAGTTTCCCCAGAAACTAGTGTATTGGCTACAAATAAGCTAATAAAAAAATTAATGCCAAAAAAAATTAGTTCCTTTTACTATTTATAACTTTTATTTTTTTATTTTTTAGAATAACTAACAATTGATTTTTTTTTTAATTTTTTTTATAATAAAAAATAAGTGTGCTATTTGACCTAAAGATTGTAAAATTGGTTTTTTTTTTTTAGTTAATAAGTTAGCTTATTAGATTTATTAGATAATAACAATGAAGTCTTAATTTCTTATAATATTCATGAATATATGTATATATGTTCGTGAACAAATAGATTAACAAGTCTATGAGAAAAAAGAAGAAAATAGAGACAAATTTCTATTCCAGCATGCAGCAAGAAAGAGAAACAAATCTGAGCCAACAGTGGCAATTGATGTTTGAGAAGAAATGAGGTTTTTTAGGAAATATTGATTTCATTTTTAAAATTTGTATTTTGAAAATATTATAAATTAATTTAACAAAAAAAGCGAGAAAAATTCATTTCACCTAGGATTTGTCAAATGTATCAATTTTTAATAATAATTTTGTCATAATTTTTTTAAAAAAATATACTACAAATTTTTTTTTTGCAAACAATTCCTAATTTAATAAACTCTTAATTATAAAAATATCATTGTTAAATAAATAACTCTAATAATTATCTATTATATAATTTTGATAGAGAATTTTCAATAAAATTTTTATAAGAATACAATATTTTCAAAATAAAAAATAAAAAATTTATTGGACACTCTTTTTAGGAAAATGTCTCCTAGCTCAAATTTTGTGGCTCAAAAGTGGCTCAAATGGTCAAAACGACGTCGTTTTGGCCATTTTTATGTTATTCTGTACTCAAAACAACGTCGTTTTGGCCATTTGAGCCACTTTTGTTCTGTACTCACAACGACGTCGTTTTGGCCATTTGAGCCACTTTTGAGCCACAAAATTTGAGCTATGTAGCATTGTCGCTCTTTTTAATAGCTCCGAACCCAACTCATGGCTATGTAAATTAGGGCACCCGGCCCAAGATGGCTCTAATCTAATCATTCTAATTTCAGCACTGAAAAAATTTCAAGCCTCAAGCCCACCCACTTGATAGATATGAGTTATTAATTTTTTTTTTTTCTCTTCAATGAATATTAATTTTTTTTTTTTTCTCTTCAATGAATATTATTTAGATCCTAAATTTTAATGTTAACAAAGTTTAATAGTAAAATAACTATAACTTTTAATAAATATTTTTAATTTAAACCCTATATATATTATATTTTATATATATTTTTACTTTATTTTATAATTAAATATGGAGCACTTAAAAGTCGGCCTATGCATAAAGTTCAAAATTTATTTTGTCCCAAAACAAAACACTTGCACCAATTAATTTTATATATTTTTAATTGTTACCAAAAAAAATATCATTTAAAAAAAAAAATTAAAGACACTGCTATATTTCACAACTATCGAACTTCTATTAGACAGTCACTGGAGGTAGGAATGGCAATTTGAACCCGGCCCAGCAAGGACCCGAACCACCTAGCCCTGATAAGCCGGGTTTTTTCTTAAAATTACCCCCATAGAGTCGGGGCTGGTATTGAAAAATGGATCCCCAACGGTTTTCAAGCCGGGGATGGTGAAATAGGTTCCCCCGCCTTGGCCCTACCCCGAATCATCCCCGAACCATCCCCGTATATATATATATATATATATATGTTTAGGATTTTTCTATTCACTCACTTCTCTTCTCTTTTCTGCGTGCTGTAGGTGCTTACGATGACGGCTCCGCCTCTCTTTTTCACCGGCGTCACTTCTCCCTCATGGCGTCACGGCGGCGACGCATCTCTGTCTCTCTCACTCACTGGCATTGTTCTCCTTCCTCACCAGCGTCATCCACTCTCACTCACGGTCACGGTGCAGTATCACCTCCTCTCTCTCACTGCGGCTCATCTTTCTCTCACACCAGCGTCGTTCTCCTCCCTCACGCGGTTATTGTTGTTGCTGTTTTGCTTTGTTTTTTTTTTTTTTTTAAACTCACTATTGTTGTAGCTATTTTTTTGTTTTTGGTAAAGAAAGAAGATAGAGATGATCCAAACTTCCTCATGTACGCACACACACGCATATAGAGAGAGAGAGAGAGGCTGTTGATTTTGGAGGTGATATCATTGGCTCCGATGATCTTGATCTGTTGTTGGTGATTTTTTTTTTTTTTGGACCGAGGAATGTTTGGGGTCGAGGAAACCCGATCCCCGTTAGGGGGCTATAATAGGGGAATTTCCACCATCAGGGATCAGGGATGGGAAGTGTGATCCCCGGCCTCGCCCCGACCCGTTGCCATCCCTAATTGAAGGGTCGTCAGAATGTTCAACATTATTGAAAAGTTACTGAAGTATCGTCAAAGATTTGCCAAAATATCGTTGGAGTGTTTTGAACGTCATTGAAAGTCAATAAAATGTCCAAAACATTCGCTAAACATTAAGAATGTCGTCGAAAACTCACTGGAATGTCCAGAATATTATCAAAAAAAAATAATAAATGGAGAAACTAATGCAAAAAAATATAGCAAAATGTGCTAAATATTTATAAACTGAAAAGGGGAAAAAAAATATAACAACAACAAAAGCAACAATGGACAAAAGCAACAATGGGAAAAACATATGTTATTTCTCAATTTTTGTAGAGCTTAAGCAAATAATCTCCAATATTGATCAAACTGAAAAGTAAGGTTTGAAACTACACAGTTTCAAATTATGATTCTATTGAACCAAGATCCCCTCCTTGAATTTCCTCCTTGACTTCCTACTTGCTGGGTTATTGGGCCTATTTTTAGGCCCAATTTTGATGATCCTAACCGTGCACATTTTAAGATTTGTTGAGTATATCATACCTGTAAAAAATGAAGTTGATCGGATATCAGAAAACATGTGTTCGGAAAAACTGTTTATTAAATTTTTTAAAAAAATGGTTTTAGTTCGATGATCCGAACACATGCTTTCTGATATCCAATCAACTTTATTTTTTACAAGTATGATATACTCAACAAATCTTAAAATATAAACGGTTTAGATTATCGAAATTGGGCCTAAAAGTGGGCCCAATGACCCAACAAGTAGGAAATCAAGAAGAAAAGTCAAGGAAGGGATCCTAATTCGATTCTATTAAGCATTTATCCTTATTCATCAAACTGAAAACACATGTCAAGAAAATGTAAAATTTTATAGTAAAAGCATGTCCTGAAATCGCAAATTTTTGCATTTTTAAAGTATGATTATTTCAATACAAAAAAAATTGAAACTAATTTTTTTTATAGTTTTCACTATTTGTAACTAAAACTCAAAAACAACTTATTCAGAATTTAAATTTTTTTTCCATTAAAATAGGAAAAGAGAAGTGTGCAGTAGAGAAAAAGTAGAAAAATTGAGAGATTGAAGATGAGAAACAGATATAGAAAGAGGATTGTACTCCTGCAACTATTTTTGGTTTAGATCTAACAGGATCTGATGTAAATCTAAGTAGATATACATCATATATGAGTAGAACTACTCATTTTCTTCACCTGAAATTCATCTCATTCGCTATTAGTGAGGACAAAGTAAAGAGTTGGTAACCAATAGATGTAGATAACTGTATATCAGAAAGAGAAAGAAAAGAAAGAAAATGTAAAGAGAATAAGAAAAACATGCAAGACTTTAGGATTTACTCAAAATGTTGTGAGATTAAAATAAAGTACACATCTTTCAAAGAGGACAAGCAAATAATTTATTCAAATAATATAAAATTATAATTAATATTTTATAAATAAGCAAAACGAATTGGGCTAACACTCTTTACCACAAGTCCAATTTTAATAGTATTAATAAGTGTAAAATCTCAACCCAACCACAACCTTATAAATATTAGGCTGGGCTGGGCTGGGCTGGTTTGGTTCGGGCCGATCGCCACCCTATACGAACAGAGCTAAACACCAGTGGCACTCGTTGAAACCAGACTCGCAAGAAACACCGCCAGAGAGATGGTTCGAATTCAGGTGAAGCACGGCGGCGACGGTGGTGGCGACGACCTAACCGAGTTCCTCTACGACTGCCCAGCCACTTCCACCACCGACGAAATCGCCAGAGTCCTCACCCAAATTGCCAATCTTCAATCCACGATTCAGCGCTTGTTCCTCCAACTCCAACCCCGTCTCTCTCTCCTTCCCCAACACCACCAAGGTCCTCTCTCTCTCTCTCTCTCTCTCTCTCTCTCCTATTTAATCTCACTCTCTATTTTCACCATCTCGCTGCAGTCACCACTCTATTCAGAGCTTTATCAGAAGCCAAGTCCTACGTTTCCAAGGTTCTCTCTCTCTCTCTCTCTCTCTCTATATATATATATTTGAATTTGTTTGATTTATTTGTATTCGTTTTTTTATGAATTTTACAGTTCTGTTTCATTATTTTATAAATTGTTTCATATATTCTGATATTGCAAATTTGCAATTGACGTTGGATTCATTGACCCCTTTAATTTGTGGTTCACTAGATAAGTGAGGGCTTGATGACCCTATTTTGTTATTTGTTTGACCTGCATTGCTTTTCCTATGCACAATTGTCATATTGGAGTAGCAATAAAGTTTACACTTATCACATTGTTATCATCTTATTTGTCAACACAATATATATATATATATATATATCCAATGTCGTGCTGCTGACAACTAGGCTGACACATCTGACTCAGATGGTAAGATGAAATAGTAGAAATATATGATCATTATGAAATTAGTTATTGGAGTAGATCTCCTTGTTATTATTCCGCATAGTCTTCTTGATTTGGATCCTACCCGTTTTGCAAGCCCAATTGAGAGGTGCATTCTTATAAACCTCATTGAGACACTACAAACTGTGCCCATTAGAATTTAGATCAAAGCGTGGTTGTATTATATCACGCCTTTAAGTGAAAGTGTGCGGTTTGGGTGTGTTGAAATGGACTAAGGATCCAAATAATAGTTTTCCTTATAATCCCAATTCTCAAGAGAACTAGGATTGGTGGTGACACTTGGTGTTCCTTTTTTTGGTGGTTGTGCAAATATTTGAATAGAAAAGGAATCTGGAAACACGAGAAGCTTTACGCGTTTGAGCCTAAAGGGCTATTTGGCTTAATTGAATCTAAAAAATTCTAGAAAATAAATTCATGTAAACATAAAGGCCCAAGGATGTAATTATTTTAACTTTCTAACAACCAAATGGACTGTACTGATGGCTTGATATTTGTTGCTTGAACATTCTGTTCTCAAGTTGTCGGTTCCAATGACAGGACCAGGTTCTACATAACAAGCCTTTGGTGATTTCTGCACTGAAAGGCCATGTAAAAAGCATTGAAAGGGAATTCAGCACAAATTATCATATAATGGGTTTTCCAGATTCCAATTTACAGCAGCTCCTAACAGGTATTTCTGTTGTTGCCAAAGTGAACTGTGTTTTTTTGTTATTTTTTCATACATTTTTTAATTAAAAAGTTAATTAAATATAATATCGAGCATTGCTAATGCTCCTGTATATATTATCTAAATGTTGAAATGAATCCATGTGTTTGTTACTCTTTGCTTTAGTTCTGTTTGTCTTATTAATTTTTCAAAACCAAGGAAAGGATGAATTGGTTTTATTTGTAGATATATATCTTGCCGTCAAAAAAGATGCAATGCATTTTGTGGTAAAGAATTTTGTAAGGTTTGGACAAATAATTTATGGTATCTCTATGATTTGTTTTCTTAACAATTGGTCAGTGGGGAATAGAAAGTTGCATAGCATAACGGTAAGACTCAAACCCAAGCACCACTAGCATCTCATCCACTAGGTCAACTACTTGATCTTATTTCTATGACTTATTTTATCATAGTATTTTTTGGTCTTGTGTTACCTAAATATGTATCAGCAATATGTATGTCAATTGATCGAGTCATTGTCTAATACACATGAATTTTGGCTACTTGTTCAAGACATTCATTCAAACTTAATTCTATGTACCAGTTGGTAAATATGGAAGTAGAGGGTAGCTGCTTTGTACATTTTGTCACTTTGTTTCATGCAAGGGGTGGATTTTGTTATGTCAACAAGATTTCTCTTCTCTTTTATCATTGTCTATTCTGCCTTCTAGTTCATGGTGTGATTACTTTCTTTACAATTTCCTACAAATTTACTTTTCTGATTCTTTAGAAAAATACTTTCAATATCAAAATATGAAGAAGTATTGATGTATTGCATAAAAATGTTGATTTCTCAGACTTGGAACTCCTTCAAGAGGATACAGTTGAGCTTTTGTGGGCTCGGAAAAAGCTCCTTAGGGGCAAACAATTATGTTATTATATTGGAAAAAATGAGAAAACAAAGGTATAGATCTATTCTTGTAGTCTGCACTCTGCACTCTGCACCATCCATCGATTTAGGGAGACCTTACATCATTCCTACTTCTTGATGGCAGATCATGCTCAGGCTGCAAGCACCCAGCTCACATCTAGCATATAATTCAGTTAAGTAACAGTTATGTAGCTCTGAATCTTAGGTGATGCTTTGGTTTGGTTTTTTGTATCATTATCTGTGAATGGATTTAATTTGAACTTTTTCTCTATGTTGGTTTGTTTCTTTTTCTTCTTTATGTTAGACGGAGCAGGAGAAGGATCTTAGTAACAAATAGCATCACTTAGGGAAAGGTATTTTCTTCTGAATGAGTCCCTGATTTACTGAATATGCACCTTGCTGTTACCGACTAATAAAGTTTAATCCACTGGCACATATGCATGTTGTCACCCCAATGTGTTTAATCTACTGTGACATATATGCCTGGTTAAGTGCATCTACATATTTTCTTCTTGGATCTCGCCCACTTCTATATTCTCTTTTCCTCCCTTTAGTAGGTGATCTAACACGAGAATTGAGGATATGATGTTACTGAGTTTTGATGCATGTCAAGTGAAGCCAAGGTCCGTAAGGCTAACAATTTGTAAACCAACAAATTCCTCTGTAAATTATGCAACTCATTGTAGACTGAGTATTCTTATATTCCAAACTTGTGGCTAGTAATACTAAAGTGTAAGTTCAGTTGTGTTGGAGAATTAGATGTCTTCTAGACTGTATATGAACCATAAAAAAAATCTGAATTAATTGCTACAAAGGCTTTGTTTTTCCTTCTGTTCAACATTACTATTTCCATACCTTTTGGTTTGTTGATGGATGTCGAAAGGATCTAGTAATGGATGGGTGTGTTTATTTGGCAGGAATCAAGGGTGCAAATGGATATCTGATTCCCATCATACCAATTTCTCATGTTTGGTGAGGGCTTTTGATAATGGGAATTTCATTGCTAGAATGAGCTAACCTCGTGTAGTGGCAGTCTTATTACAATGGGGAGAGGTGGTGTTCCCGTTCCCGTTCTACATAAGGATTTTTTAAATTAGTTCTATTATGTATATATTATTGAACCAAATATCTAAATGGTAATGTAATTTCTTTTTCAATATACATTCCTGGGATGTTCAAATGTTAAAATGAGAATATTTGATTCCAGGATATAAAAATCTATCAGCTAGTCATGGACAACAAAGATAATTAATCAGCATATGCAGTTTTTCTATATTTCTTGCTTGCGTGAGGTGCAGAGGCGTGAATCCTTTTTGCATCATGAAGCACATCTGTTTCAAGAAATGTTATTGAAATAGACATGAAACATAAGTGGAGCTCATCATGTGGGTGGTGCAGTGGACTAAATCTACTGGCAACATTTTGGTTATTTTGTCTTCAGAAAATTCATTACATTCTAAATTCATGTAAATTTTCTCTCCCTCAAAGGGCTGACCCAGAGTTTTGTTCATCCAAAGCATGGCACCAGATTATTCTATCTTTATGCTGAAAAAAAAAAACCCGTGTAAAGGTGATTATAACAGTACTTTTAAACTCTTAAGCTTTATTGATCTACAAGTCTTTCTTGTAAGTACTGATCTGTAACTTAGCATGCTCCGGCAAAAGTGAAAAGTGTGATACATAATAATGAGATAGTAGAATGTCTTGAAGTACTTGAAACTCTATGCTATACCTTAATAATGGGTGTATGCGTTAATAATGTGTGTTTTTACTCATCAATGTAATTCTTTTTCAGGGCATCTTGATATTCAAATGACAGACAGTTTGATGTAACAAACACAGTAGATTATTGAAATATTCTTCTAGATATTTGAAGCCTACCTTTCCCTCCTTTAAGCCTTTAGAAATTCATGGAAACTGGGTGGGAAAGGTTCTTCTTGTTATATGCTTATCAGTACCCCACAGTGCTCAGCATCATCAAATTAGGTCTGTTTACTGCTTTGTTTGGTTCTAATCTTGTCAAAGATCTGGCTGACATGTTTACTTAGTTTAAGGTTTGGTGCACCCACTTGAAATTCAAAAGAAGGTGCGAAAGAGCTATCCCAAAGCTTGTTTGTCTGCATTTGGAGATTTCCTCTTCCTTACTTTTTATCGTCTATTTGGGAATCATTATGCTTTAAAGTGAGTTTATAATAATGTAATTTATTGTTTGCAGGTGTCTCTCAAAAGTTTTCAAGAGGCAGACAGGTGGGTTTTTGCAATCACATTCATGATTATTTCTATTACTCTTTTTGATTAAACAGAATATAGTGTGTAATGATAATGATCGTAACTTGAACTGTGTTACTTTTAAATTACTTTATGTTCCATCTGTTAAATTATGGCTGCTTGTATTTTTGTCGTCTTATGAATGGGACTAATATTATACTTTATAATTAGTAACTGATATTGTTGTTAATTTGTTATGGTAGGACGATAAGCATTTGGTATTCTTTTCTCTTGTTCCACCCAAAAGGAAAGATGCCCTTGAAACTTAAAAAGAGGACAATCTATGGAACTGCAACAGAAGAACATTTTAAGATTGTGGATCCTTAGTTTGGAGGGTATATATCATATGTGTAAACTTTTAAAATACATATTGCAGAAATAAAATGAGCCAGTCATTAGTTGAGGGTATTAAAATTTGCCTTTCTGTTCAATGGCTGAGAAAAAAAGGTTAGAAAAGAAAGTAAAAGAAAAGGATTTAAGGAACTCTTTCACCAGAAGCCCTCTTCTCTTTTCTAGGGTCAAAAAAGATTAGAAAAGAGAGGAATATAAGAAGAAGAAATGTCTTCTGCTGAGACTAGTATAACTGTTTGGATTCATTGAGGTGAGTTTTTATACTTCAAAACCAACACACTATAAAAATTGGGAATCAAAGTTCTGCTTTCTTTTAATTTTACTGAGAATTAAACTGGATGCCTTGTATTAATATTTTGTTGTTTTACTCAGTGTTTCTTTTGAGAGTTGGCTATTTTAGTTTGACTTTTTCTTTGTCTTTAGTGATTTTTTTAATTATTAAATGGACTCAAACGACGTTATTTTTAGATTTATCTCAATTAGATGGTCTTAAAAAATTTAAATTTTGATTTTTTTTTCCTTAAGTTCATGAAAGACAAAAATAGTTTTGTAAGTTTTTTTTTAGATTAAAACTAACAGAACTTTGAAATTTTTAAGAGAGTTAAAAAAGTAATAGGTGTTACTTGAAGTAGTGCGGTGGAAGCATTTTTTCCAGTGTGTTTTGGAGGACCTAATATAAAAAATTGTTTGTTTTTATCTTTTTAAAAAAAAATATTACTAACTGTCTAAAAATAAAATCCCTTAAAAATATCCAACATCTTAGGGAACAATGTACACTCTTAAAAAGATACATATACTATCTGTCATAATTTTTTTCACAAAATTTCATAACTTAAACCCAAAATGTCATAACTTTTTTTCAGTGAAAAATGTCGTAACAAAATTTCAAAGTGTCATAACAAAAATCTCAAAAATTTTAGGGTACATTATAAATTTTCTATTTATAACTTTACTATAAAATCTCATAACATACATCACATCAATCATAACGTCCATTATAAAAAATCATAATTTTTTTTATAAAGTGCACGATTTAAAAATATGCACATTATATACCAAAAAAATACATAACCAGATCCATATGGTGTCTATCAAAGGAATTTCCTTGACTAAAACAAAATGAGAGGTACAAAAGTCATCTGTCTCATTAAATAAAAAAAATTTAGAAAAAAATGTTTTAGAATTAAATATGTAATATACATAAATTAATGAATTCAATTCATCTTTGAGTCTCGTTCCAAAAATAAAAAACCAACTTTGGTTTAAAAATTTTGATTTCTTATACAACCTTAAAAAAAAATTAAAATCCCTAGACGATGTGATATAAAAAACAATAATAATATTTTAATATTGAATGTCACCTTAAATGTGCTGTTTTTATGTCTAATATAGACGCTTTAAATATTTTTCAAAATTAAAAGTTTGAAACTATTTTTCAAATAACAGAAAATACTTTTATTGACATAATGAATTGCATACATATATATATGATTTATTTCTTAGATGCATGCATTTTTTTATAAAATATTATTAATCATACTTGTCACAATTTCTTTCACACAGAAAATTTTCAAAATAATTACAAAAAATGATAAATATGATAAATATTAATAATTAAAATTATAAATTTTTTCATTGATGTGATGATTTAAATTTTTTACAAAAATACAATAAGTCCACTATTTTTTAGCATAATTACAATGAATTTCTTTAAAATTTTAAGTCACTTTAACCCTCTCATCTTCTTTACATTCATATATATATATATTTCTTTCTATCACATTATTTGCATTATTTTTTAATCATTTTTACTTTACTTAAAAAAAGCAATATAATTATGTCAAAAATTAATGAAACATCCCTCTCCAACTTCGTGCAGTGGGAGGTCTAATATATTTTTTTTATTAGCTAAGGTTCCTTAATATTTTTACAGAAATAATTTGACTAAGAGAAATCTTGCATGACTCGGAGAAATTTCACTCGACTCAGAGAAATTTTGGCCCTGACTCATAAAAATTTTGAAATTTTTCTAGTATGATCACAAAGAAATTTCGATCAAAGAGTCGGGCTAAATTTCTCTGAGTCAAACTTTTTTTTATGAAAATGTTGAGCGACCTTAGCTATTTTCAAAATATTATATGTCATTTATCTTATAAAATTTTAATATCAAGAATCTTAAAAAAAATTCTCTCAAAAATTATGAGACTTGTTATTAGTCTAATTTGCCTTTTTAATTTGGGAAAGACTCACAATTCCATTCTGTATCTCACACAAAAGGATCAAAATTGGGACAATAAATTACAATGAGATTTTCTTAAAATATGGATTGCTCTATATGATTTAGAGAATTACAAATATTATTTTATTATAATTTTTTATTTAATAAAATTAAATAAAAAAATAAAATTTCTAATTATTATTCTATATAATAATAAAATTATTTGAATTATTAATTAAAATAAATTTTTAACACCATTAAAAATTGTTCATTGACTTGATAATTTATTAATAAAAGAAATCATTTATTACGAAATTAAAAACTTCAAGAGGCAAAATATAATTTTTAAAATGACAATATTAATAAAAAAATTATTTATTATAAAATTAAAAATTTTAAGAAACGAAATATAAATTTTAAAATTACACGAGCAAATCGTATTTTATCAAACCTTACTATTAGGCAAAAAAGTAGAAAAGGAATCAAATAATGTTTCTTTCTTGTTGAGCGAAAAGGAGAAGAGAAGCCTGTTTTGTTTTGTTTTGTTTTTTAGGCAAAATTCCAAAAGGAGGGTTGAATCTGTCAGACAACCGCTTGACCATCGCAGCCGGTTCAAACCAGCTGAGAACGATCCTCTGCGGATCTGTGAACCAGACGAACTGAACCACAGAGCCATTAATCACGCTCTGGTCAAGCGGCCATGAGTCATCCACCAGATTTTGGGTCCTGTCTCCTTAGAACACAAGGATTCAGAAGTACGATCCTATAGAACAGATCCTGTTCAAGTAAGGTCGTACCTTGTGCTTCTCTTCTCGACTAATAAATACACCTCTTTTTTCTCATATTGTTTCGATGTGGGACTTGCTGTTTGTTTCTCAAAGAGATTGATGTTTTGGATTTATATATTTTGTTATTAGTCTGGTTTTCTTCAATTGTTTCACATCTGTTTTCCATACTGAATTTGATACTAGGGAAGTTGTAATTGTAAGTGGATTTGGAATATCTGTTTGTGTGCAAAGAAAATCACTTCTAAAGATCCTCGCAATTTTCATAGCATTGATATGCTCTTTTGACTCTGTAATTTTCTGATATGCTTTGTTGGGCTGTTGTTTAGACTCGAAGAAGAATGACCTTATGTTTATGAACTCGGACAAGTTTAATGACTTCCAGATCAAAATTTGGGAGTGAAGAACCGTGTTGGCAATCAAGAAGGGGAAATTCTCTTCAGCAAATTGTTATTTTCACATTCTATAGGTGTTCTTCACCTATTAATAGTCCTGCAAAAACTTCATTTTCATCCTCTGAAGTACTCCTGCAGTACACTAAACGATACCGTTTTGATTAAATTTAGATGGTTTTCAATTTTTTCATTCAATGGAAGGTATTTAACGATTTCTAACCCTTGAATTACATATGCCCATTTGGCAATAACCCTTCTTGCATTAGTTAAGAGGCATCTATAGACTATAAAACAATTTTACAAAGAACTTTGTCGCATTGCATCTTAAATCGCTCTGCTTTTCCTTTGGCTGCTAACGCTTTTTCAATTGACTTTGTTTTCAGAAGAAAATCAAAATCCTGTCTAAACCCAGTTAACTAGTTAAATTCTACTCAATAGGTTGAAATCTTCTGTTTTCCTCAATCATTGTAACGAAAAATACGAGCTTAAAATTTACTCAAATCTTTTTAATTTTTAGAATTGTCATACAGACCTAAAAGTTAAAAATAAAATAAAATAAAATAAAATAAAAATTACTCAAAGTTGAAAAAAGGCAAAAATAAGCTGACTTTTTAGTTTTGCAAATAACTGAGACTGTTGAATGGATTCATAGATGCTGCACTCAAAATGGAACCTGTTTCAGGGTAGACAGCGCAATTAAACCTCCTGTTGGTACCAACTTTGCAAAAGATGGACATTGATGGAAAATTTCTCTAACAGGTTTCAAGTTTTCCAAATAGATTATATGCTTTTTGTTCTTGGTTCTCATTTTAATGCTTTTCTTCTCTATCAATCACTCTGTTTCTTTTACTTCCCAAAAAAAAATAAAAAAATCACCCCGGTTCTTGGAAAACTGTGTGGTGCATAAAATAGCCCAATTGTTTTTAATTTTTTTACTTTGCAAAAGATGGACATTGATGGTAAATTTCTCTAACAGGTTTGAAGTTTTCCAAATAGATTATATGCTTTTTCTTCTTGGTTCTCATTTTAATGCTTTTCTTCTCTATCAATCACTCTGTTTCTTTTACTTCCCAAAAAAAAATAAAAAAATCACCCCGGTTCTTGGAAAACTGTGTGGTGCATAAAATAGCCCAATTGTTTTTAATGTTTTTTTTTTTTTCCCATTCTATTAGCTAATTGAAACATGGAAATTAAGTCTGTTTAACTTGATCAAAATTTTATTGAAGGAGGATGATTTTGTTTGGCAAATGCCCAATGTAGCTTTTCAAATAGATGGAACAATAATTTAATTGTCATTAGCAATTGTTAAACTAGAGAACATATTTCAACAGAAAACAACTCCTGAGATGAACTTTAAAGCATAAAGTTGTACTTATAGTTTTGTTTTAGGAAAAGTAACTTCTGTTCTGCACTCAGAAACTTTTAACATGGTTTTGCCTAACAGTACAGGACAGCCCTGCACAATTCTGAACTTCGCGCTGAATCAAACGATTCACATTGCGCAAAATTATGAAAGGAAAAAGGGAAAAACATCTCATAACCCAATCAAAATGTGTTTAACTTTTGTACTTGTTCTTGTTCTTGTTCCCCCACTCCCATTTCTCTTGTTTTCTGTCACACATCTTCAACCTCTGCAAAGTCCTGGCCTTTCTTGATCCTCGCGGACTACTCTTGAAGCCGACAATGAACAGAAACCAATTTCATTTACAGTTTTTCTGGAATGGAACTCCTGTTGTGACCTTTTGCAATGAGCAATCGCGCCCTGAATCGAATTCTCAATATCCAAACCCACGCTGCTGCTGCTTCTCTTGAGAAAGTGCGAGTCGTGGAACCAATTTGAATTACTCGAGCTTGAAGAAGACGAAGACCCAGATGAAGAAGACGACGAAGAAGAAGACTTAGTTGTTGAAAACCGTTTGATCGCCCCAGAAAATGATCTTCTGTGGCGAGCACGGGTATCTGCAGCAAATTTTTCTTTGTTGAAGCTCCTTGTGGCAGTAGTATTTGGCAATTGGTACCTCTCTAAGTGAATCTGCCCGAATGGGGTGGTCTTTTTCGCCATCTTCACGTACTCCTTGGTCTTTGAAACCGATCCTTCATCCAAGTTTCTTGGAGCAGCCGCGCAAGACTCATCAGAGCAGCCAGATTTACTGAACAAAGACTTGAGGTAATCCCGGGAAGCCTTTAACTTTGAACCAATTGTGGACTGTTTGATCAGCTTAAGCTTTCTGGTCCAGGACTTTTTTGGGTTGTCACCAATGAAACCGCTCACTTCAGTTGAGTATTGGAAGAAATACTGATCTGGGTTGAGTTCTGTGCTGACATGGCAAGACTCTGATGGAGAGATATTGCAGGACTCGAATGGGGTATTGGCTGTAGGTGTGGTGTAGGTTGTGGTTGTCAATGGAGTGCTAAAATGTTCTTCAAAGCCATCATCTGTGTTTTTGTGATTGTAAGAGATGGAGTTTTGAAGTAGTTTTTCGACCATTTGTAAACGCGGTGGGAGGTGAAGGGGGAGGAGCTTTCCTTTGTAGAAGAGTTCGTCGGCCGGTGAAGTGGTGGTTTCTCTCTCAGAAGAGCTTGAAAACATTTGGAACTCGAACTCTCGGGCATGTGGAGGTGAGCTTATGGATTGGTAGAAGAAGTTGGAGTTTGAGCTCACTTCCATATCTATGTAGTCTTCATCTGCATTGTCACATATGTGGTTTTGGTCTGCAGCCATTTCAGCTCTCTCTCTCTCTCTCTCTCTGCCCTGGTTATGCTTATTGGGAATGGGAGGTGGGCTTGGTGAAATAGGGAGGGGGGCAAGAGCATCATTTAAAAGAGTTGGTGATGACAAAATTATGGTGGAAAAAAAAATTTACTATTGGGACCAGGGAGTTGTCAAAATCTTGGAAATTCTTTGAATGCTTCCAAATATAAAATTCAGAGCATTATGGGGAGAGTTTTCTTTATTGGCCAAAGCACTGACCCATGCCTCTATTTTTTTTGTCACCTGAATTAAATTTCAAATGGTTTATTTCCCATTCCTTTGCTTTTAATTTCTGGATTCCATCTCTCTTTCCTCTTTGAGTATGCTAGGAATATCAATTTTTTTACCAAATAAATGATTAAATGTCTCACATGGATGTAGTCTACAAAAAAGTAAACCCCACACCTATGTGAGACATTTAATCATTTGTTTAGTAAAAAATTTAATATCCCTAACATTTTTCTTCCTCTTTAGTTTTCTTTTTTCTTTCATGAGAGAGAGAGAATCGTTAGAAATATTAAAGGAATGTTCATATGAATTATACAATAATCATTTCTCTTATTGTGGTTCAGATTTTTTGCAGGGCCCCGTGGCTGACAGCATCAAGACTTACAATTAGAGTTCTCTGTATTGTGGGCCTCTGTGCTCTTCCAGTGTTCTTCTTAATCACAACAAAGAGGTAATTTATTTTTCACTTGTATGATTGATCAAGAAGTCACTAACACTGCATTTGGATCTTAAATTTGTGAATAATTTTGTGATAAAAAATATGAAATGAAAGAAAAATAAAACACAGCGAAACATTTTTTTGTTCCATCCTGAGTGACGAGAGATCCCATGATCCAGAAAAAAAAAATGTTTTCTTTTTTTTTGGTGGGTGCACTCTCACAATGATACGATTTAATTTTTAAATTTTAAAAATGTGTCATGAGATAAAATTAGTTTAAGTGTGTTGAAAAAATTAATTATTAGAAGTTAAAAAATAAATGTATTTAATTTTTTATTTTCTTATTATGAACTTTGGACTCGTAAAAAACTAAACCAAACAAGTACGTGTGCTCTTTATTTCTTACTTGCAATATTTTTTTTGTTAGTTAGAGCATGCAGGAACGGAATCATGATTTCATCATCGGAGGAATCAAAAGACAAATAAAAAAATTTCACCATATATATAAGTAAGCACACATGTATGTACAATATGATATATATATTATGTATATACACAAAAAAAAAAAATTAATCCCATAGAAGCAATTTCTAATAGGATAAAGTTTTTTTGATGCAAAATAAAAAGAGGGTGCAAGATGAGAGAAGAATGAGATATATATTTTTTATACTAAGGGTCATTTTATGTATAAAAGGAGATATATTTTTAAAATACTATGACAAATCATATTTTTCACAAAAACACAAGAGGGTCATGGCTTCCATAGTCTTCTCCTAATTTCATCCCTGACAACATAGGCATATAAAAAAATAAAAATTTAAAAAAAAAAACTTTTGTTAATACTGTTATTTATTTTTATTTTTTTCTTCATACATAGAGAGAGCATGCCCCCTATCAGCCATATTCAAGTTTGGAACCAGCCCATTTCTCAAAACCAGGTTTTCTGCACTCTCCCAATATAATAGTCATGTTTTGCTCTCTCTCTCTCTCTCTCTCCAATGGCAAATAAACACTAAACTCAAAAGAAGCTGCTCCTTGAATTAATAGAATAATACTTGGAGCTAAAGAAACACTTTATACTACTTTACCTAGTTTTACTACTTTTTACTGGATTCCTGGCTTGTTTTTTTTTTAACTTTCTTTGCCAGACTTCTTTAAGAAGAATAATTACCCTAGACTTCTCACGGTTTTGTCTTCATATAATATGAACAAGTGAGCACATTTATATAAACAAAACTATATTTGTAGAGAGAGAGAGAGGATGGATTTGGGTTGAGGTGAGAGAAAGGAACAAACACAGGATCCGACATTTCGTAGTGGGGAAAAGGATAGGGAGGGATGCCTGTGAAGCTCGAGACTTTTGTTTCTCACCAACCACAGCTTAGAAGGATCACTGTCTTTTATAGAAACTCATTCATTTCGTTATCAATAATTTGATTAAATTTGGGTATTTGGGTATTAAATTTATTTTGAATAAAATCTTATGTGTCACAATGTATGAATATAATAAAACTCATGCATTTGATTATCCGTTATTTTAGGATACCAAATTGGTGATATATATGACATTCAAAATTTGATATTCAAATTTAGTGGCCGTAGATTGTTTTGTTATAGCTGACGTTGAGTGTTGTGTAGTAAGGCACACAAATGAGTGTCATATTCAGCCAAGTCGAACCCAATATCAAGCTGTTTTAAGTTTGATATAATAATTTAACAAATTTAAAAATATAATTTGTTTATATAATAAGTCGATCTTGAATGAGTTTTTAACTAACCAAATAAGTCAAACCGCAAGTAGCTTGACTTTTTATAATCCATATGAGCTTATAAAGTTAAAATTGTATTTAAACTTGACTTGTTTATATAATAAGTTAATCTTAAACAAGTTTCTACTAAAACAAATACAAGTCGAGCTCGAATAATTTAGTTTGTTTAATAGCTCTATTGTTAAAGCACTATCGGTTAGTGGTTACAAGTATTATAGTAGAGCCTATAACATGACCGCTCCATTTATTTAGGCAAAAAATATATTTCATAAAAGATGTTTTTTTGTATTTGCCTACGCTCTTGATATAAATGTATTAATCATTGTATAGTGATGATATTAATGACAGATGTGATAGTGTGCTAACACTGGTAAAATTTTAATTTGAAAAACATTTTTTACCTTTCAAAAGTAAAAAATAGTTCACTCATAAATTTGTTTTCATTAACTTTTGTTTTTCATCATTGTACCCAACACTAAAAATACAAAAATACTTTTTGCTCAAATTTGTACTAGGCACAAATTTTGCAACTTAAAACACATCTTCAAGCAAGTAATGTTTTTAGGATATTTCAACAGAAGGTAAATAATCACTAAACATAAACTTTTGAAAACACAGTTTAAGAATAAAATTTTAAATTTTAAGCCAAATAAATGTATAAGATTTGTTGTTTCGAATTTTTGTTTCTAAAAATGAACTACAGTTGTACAATTTTGTGTGTGAAATAAGAATATAGATGAAAGATGTTGGTAAAGATGAAATCAGTTGTGCATATATTGATGGTTGTTAAAATTGGAATCATATGTAAGACCAGTGAGAGTCTAGTGGATCGTATAGTAGAATCAAATTCATGTTTATAAGATTTTACTTTCTATTAAAACTAATGCAATGTTTTATTTTTCATAAAAACATGCTTTGTACACACTTTTAAAAAATTTGTTTTGAAAGATGCCAGCAGAAGGATTGTTGGCCACTGGAAGTAGTGGTCAAAAATAGTTGTCATAGTGAAAGATGGTGGTATGTCGGCTGTGTAAGGTGGTTATTAAGGCCTCGTTTGGCAAGTGACTTTTTTAGTCAAAAAGTCAAATAGTCACAAATAAATTAAATAACCAACAACTCATACCAACAAATTCTCTTTACTTTTTGCACATTTTTTTGCAAAAAATTAAAAATTCATCCTAAACATACTATTTTTTTTTAGCTCATATTTTAGCCAAATAACCAAAAAATTATTAAATTAATTTGTTCCCAAACAAGGCCTAAAGATTATTTTTAATAAGAGGTGGTGGCCAAAAGTGATTGTCGCCAATGGTAGCCGATGGAGGTCATCACCAATGGTGGCCGATAGTGATGAGCAAAAAAAGTGGGAGAAAGAGAAAGAAATGAATTATAATAATAATAATAATAGTAATAAATAAATAAAAAAAAACAAGTAAAACTGACATTTTTATGTTTACAAAATTTAAGTTCAGAAACTTCTTTCAAAAAAAAAATTTCTAAAAAATTAAAAATAATTTTGTGAAAGAAATAAAATAAAATATAACATTTTTACATTATCTTTTAGGAGGCCATAAATAATTTTAACAATTTTAAAAATATTTTTTTGATATTTATTTTTATCAAATTAATTTCTATTTTTTCAAAAACACATTTTCGAAATTTTTTCTCAAAAAAAAACCAAACAAACTTTTTGAAAAGAAAAACAAGAACCAAACGAATTTTCATTTACAGTTTTTTAAAAATCTATAAATATAAACAGAAAATTATAAATAAAAACATTACTAAACTTGTGGAACAGAAAACCTAGATGTCATTTCTGACCACTTTAATCCATATCATTTAACAATTAACAGCATGAAAAGTTTAACTTGCATTTAAATCACCTCTGTAATACAACAATCCCAAAGAACATTACTTATGATTTTGTTTTCAACTCAGAGAAAATCCCTACAATTAAACAATCAAAACAGTACTCCACAGTAGCTTCAATTTTTTTTTTTCAAAAAAAATAATGGATTCAAATTTTACTATTTATATGGGCCTTTCAAGATATAAAGGGACAACTACTTCCAACTAAATAAAGAAAGTATTGAGAAAGGATAGCCATAAACATACCTATCTCAGTGACCCACCGCACCAGAAAATCTGGATATGCTATTGTTCTCTCAATGGTTGAAGAAGCATATCAACAAACGAGTAAAGCCTCCTGGATTCGATTAATGGGGCTCCAATGCCGGGTATCCCACCAGCACACCACAGAAAGTAGCAAAAAAAATTGCTCTAGCAACCAAACAGTCCTTGGCAAAACTAAGTTGGAGGTCAATTTTAGAAACAAATTTCAACTTATGTACAATGATAGCATGGTAGTTGAAAGCATGGTAGTCCCCAGTACAATGATAGTGTCCTGCAGAAAATGAAACAAATTTCAACTTCCATATCGGGAAAAACTTTTCAATTCATCAACATAAACAAAGATCACACAGCCTCACCTGCTCTACTTAGTTACACCGTTCCCTTTTTTTTGAGGAGGTCACCATCAACATCATTAAATGGTCCTTCCACTTTGGACCACTCTTTCTCAAACCTGAGAGTTTAATCTAGAGAGCTCAACACTCACCAAACATAAAGCAATGTTTTACATTTAAAAAGATTATATTTTACAGGCATGTTACATCACACAAGTTTTTAAGTATTTACACGAGAATATATGAAATGAAATCTAATGTTACAGAGAAGAACTCAGAATCGTAAACATATACATGGTTATTTATTAGTATAGAATACAAAGATTGTCCTGTTTTCATCTATTTGTTTAACTCCCTTTCAAGCTCATCAAATTCCCAGTCACCGACCTCTTCTGTTGAGTAGTCTCGACTATCCTTACCAAATTCAGTTTCCAGTTTTGCCAATTCTGCTTCGGGGTCTAGCATCTGCTCAGCCTTGATTTCAGGTGACTGGGGGTTCTCATCCTTTGCCACTTTTGGTGGCTCTGTTTTGTGCAACGGACTTTTGGGTGTTTTCCCATGGGGAGAGTCTGCCTCCAAGGAGGGATTCTCCATTTCTAGATATGGTCTCTCAATTGAATCAAATTCCTGTCTTAATTTTTCAATATTATTAAACAGGTCTTTAACCCTTGCGTCATCTTTCCTGGAAAAAGGGGGATCGAGCAATTTATTTTCAGGAAGGAATTTGATGTATATGGCACAATGGCCAATAGGGTCTGCTATAAAAGAACCAAGTAATAACACAAAAGCATAAATCACCTTGAAATTTTCCCCTGCTGGGCGTAGAACTGCTCTTTCATGTTATCCACTATGCTAAAAGTCGTTATAATCTGTTAAAACACAAAACATAGCCAGTAATGCCTTTTTTCTTATTCTTTTAAACCAAAATGTTCCATCATCACAATAATTATTTGGGACATCAATCTATTAAGCATGTCAACAACAAAGTTAAGACCAAAATCAATTAATAATGGAAGAGAATTATGTAATTCATTGGCAAAATTGCAAGAGAGAAAAATAAGGCAACTAGTGATAGACAAATTAAAAAAAAAAAAAAAAAAATGGAAGAGGTCGGTAGAGCCAATGCATGAATAGCCTTAGGTTGGGAAGGCACTGCAGTACACGTGCTTGTGTATATAAAGTATACGCCAATAATTTGAACGCAGCACCACTTGCAATAAGAATAACTATGTTCAAAATATATTGTTTAGTTATAATTTTCTGAATTCAGTTTTTTGGAAATCAAGTTTTTTGTTTTTCGTGTTTTTTTGTTTTTAGTAAATATTTTAAAATTTTTAAGCAATTTTTTTTATTTTTTAGATGCACCTTATTTAGATTTGTGAAAAAATATTTTAAAAAATTAATAAATACACAAAAATATGAACATATACTGAATTTTTGTACTTTTTTTAATATTTTTTGGTATTTAGTGAATTTTTTAAAGATTTTTTTCCACAAATATTATACTTTTCAAGTGTGTTTATGTTAGGTGTGTCTAAAAATTAAAAAAATTGCTTAAAATATTAAAAATAATTCATTGAAAACATTAAAATACAGAAAATAAAAAAGTAAAATTTTCTGAAAACCAAAACCAAAATCTGAGAACTAGACATAGAGAGGGATGTTGGTCTGTGTAAGACTGATACTTTCAAAAACATGTAAATATTTTAATCAACAAAAGAAAGAAAATAGTAAACCGATTAAACATTTTCACGTCATAAACTGATGACCAAAACTAGGAAAGATAACAAAGAAAGGAACAAATGAAAATAAAAAAAACTAAAACATATTCAAAGCAAACCTTTCTAAAAGAGAATCTAAAGGCACAAGTTATGATCGAGTAAAGGGGCTGTTTGGTGCACACTATATGAGTTGCTTATGTTTTTTATTTTTATTTTTTTAGTGGAGAGAATGTGTCAGACTGTTCCGTGCAACTTTTATGCTTACAGGCTTAAATAAGCTAGAAAAAGTTGATTATATGAGGACAGAGTGCTTTTTGGCTTCTGTTTTCTAATATCAGTTTTCAGCTTACAAGGTGCGGCCAACATGCCCAAAACTGAACCTTGTTTGGTTTCAGAATTTTGAATCCACTTTTCAAAAAAATTGAGTTTTTTATTTTCCGTATTTTTTTATTTTCACTAAATTTTTTTAACATTTTAAGAAATTATTTTTGTTTTTAGATACACCTAATATAAATACACTTAAAAAGTATAATATTTATGAAAAAAAAAATATTTTGAAAATTCACTAAATACCACAAATACAAAAATTCAGTACATTTCGTATTACTGTGTATTTATTGATTTTTTAAAATATTTTACTTTTTAGGTACATCTAAGTTAGGTGCATCTAAATAGTAAAAAAATTGCTTAAAATATTTAAAAATTTCACTAGAAACAAAAAAACACAAAAAACAAATAACTCAATTTTTAGAAAATTTGAGTTCAAAAATTCAAACAACAATGAACTCATGATGTCAAAGGTAGTCACATTTGTACCTTTTCTTCATAGTCCAGATATTCCTCCTCAAGATTTTTCCTTGGGTTTAGTTCTTTGGAATCTTCACCAGCCACACCGGATGCCATTCCTGACCTGTCCAATGACACAAAGAACTTCAAAAATGTGGTCAAAACAGGTCAAAATCATCTGTGTAACAAACATCATTACCCTTCCAAACTCTTCAAGTTCTCCACAAATTTCCCAATACGATCAATAGAAGGCTTCAACCCTTTCTGTGAAAAATATACAAGATTATGTAAAAGAAATCCAGGAAAATAATTAATTTTTTATTCATAGCATTAAATGTAATTAAGACGTGTGATATTCTAAATAAGGAGTTTAACAAATACCTCATATGTAGAGAGGAGATTAATGACCAAGTTCACATAATAGCTCTCATGTCTCTCTAGTTCATCACTTGAAAAATGCAAAGCAGCAAATAAGTAATGGCTCCAGGTATTTTAATGATTACACATATGAACAGGAAATGATGATGACATTAGAATAAAAATAATAGGGACAAATTTCATTAAAATTATCCCTTCCAATCCTTTAGAACACATCTATCCAACAAGATGGCAATTCAAGATATAATAGGAATGAGAAACTCTTCAAGTTCATATATACATACTTGACCTGCTTCTCCTTGGTCTCTGTATATGAGTGTTGGAGAACCCAGGTGTCTTCCAAAAAGTTGATCCAAGTTTTTAGGACATCTGCTTCTACCCTACTTGAGGAGATGGATCTCGAAAGCTCATCCTCCTATATTTTTTAATAAAGAATGATATGAGAAGGGGCCATGCAACATGTGAGCCAAAAAACATAAATTCTAAACATTTTTACTGAAGCAAGCACAGAAGAAAAACAGAGAAAACAAACTATATAATGGAGACCTTTGTTTTCAAGTGAGCAACAATCTGATTGTTAGCTTCATAAAACTGATCCCTCTCTTCCCTGGCATTGTGAAGACGTGATTGCACAGCGGCCAACGAGTTATTAACCTAAACCAGACATCCCAGTTGTATATGTGTTAGCAATTGAAGAAGCACACAAGTGGAACACAAGTACAAACTAAAGGCTGAAAAAACTAAAATCTCATGTAGTTTAAGGAAACAAGGTTACCTGACCCTTGAATTAGTATGATTTAAACTAAATACATAACTAAGTCAGAAACACAGGAAATATACACATACAAAGACAAAACATGTCGGTTTTTTCTTTAAAAAGTTAACTGGAGACAACACTAACTATAGAGAATACAAACACACACAACGTGGTTCTTCAAATTACAAAAGCAGTGAATAATATTAATTAATACAAAATGCTAACGACCCCCCAAAGGACTGTCATTAGCTTTGGTGGATGTGTAAAATGTGCATTGCAATGTGTGAAAAGTGTGTAGAAATATTTGTACGTGCTTTGGCATTTTCCTCCCCTTATTGACAGCCCTATCATTAGCATGATTGTAAGATAATTCATGCTCAAAAAAGTAAAATTGATAGCCATTTAATGCCCTTTTTTTCAAGTCTATTGTTTTAAATAATTAAGGACGTTATTTAATTTCATCTAGTTCGCGCATCTTTTTTATTGCCATGTTCCAACCCAGAGAAGGTGATTGATGAACAAAAACAGCTAAAAGCATTACACAGAAAGGGATCACTCATCTTTATCCCTTTAACTAACTAAAACCTGGAAGATTAAAAAGAATAAGCTAAGTTGATAATATTCAGCACATATAACGAATTTTTGGCCATCCATAATATATATATGTATATATATATATAAAATGGAGTCAGTGCAGCCATTGAAGAAAATAAGGGTTTTTATACCAATTTATGTGAACGTCAACCCACCACTCAGCTATAAAACTGTGCATTGAAATCAATGAATACTGCATGACAGGCATTGCAAACGTTGTTATTATATCCATGATTTTTGGGAGGTGCATAACATCCTAAGGCAGCACTGCAGTAACATAAGCATGCTGGGAAGACTATGAGGCCCCGTTTGTTTTCGGTTATAGCAGTCCGGAGTGGACTGTTAGTGAGGAACAGTAAAATACTATCATGTTTGTTTTGCAAAGTGAGCTCCAAATTCATAGTCCCCTTCGGATTATGAAAGGCTTGGCGACCGGATTAGGAGTCTAAGCTGGGAGATGATATTAGAAAATAGTCCGTTTGGCTTAGGGTGTTACCGGTCGTCCGGGGGAACGTCCAGTGGGTCAACCGGCCAAGTGTTTTTTTTTTTTTTTTGTTAACATGTTGGGCAGCACATTTTGAACATTAATGTTCAATGTTTTTGTATTTTTTGTTAAGCAAAAACCATGGTTTTATTTATTTTATTATTTTATATAAAAATAATTTAACAATTCCCACAATAATAACTATCATCAAAACAAACACAATTTTACTTAATCCCTTCACTATCAATCCTCTCCAATCTATCTCTCAAAACAAACAGGGCCTGAGATGAGGAGATGCAATCACTGATCTCATGGAAACAATATGTGACAACAATAGCCTACCCTAAAGTGTACCTCTCACTTCCAATGGATTAAAAAAGCAAAAGATAGATGATTGAGTAAACCTTTTTCAATTGATCCTCAAGTTCATCTTTTTGTTTCTGGAGTACTGAAATCTCAGCTGTTAATTCCTGTAAATCGGCATGGAAACAAGTTTAACATTTGCCTCATAAACAAATGGAACCAAATAAATACATCCTGCATGCTTGAAACAACCATGAATTCACCACATTTATACCATAGAGTGCACAGAAATCACAAGTAAAAGAGATGTTTTCCTAAATTGTTATCTTGAATGTACAAGTTGAATCAGTTACAAACTATCAAAAGAATAGACTCTCAGATATGTAGAGCCATGTTAAATATAACCAAAGACCATTACATGTATGAATAAATATAGACACATGACGGGTGTGGGTGAGAGAGGTCTGAGAAGATGGTGGGCACTTCAATGGCCTGAGATCACCGGAGGTGGAAGAGGAGAAGACTAAGGCAGGCTCAAAGAGAAAATGGGTGGTAGTGATAGACCTTGAATACTTTGTATATGTTGTATGATTCTTGTTGCTCTTGTTGTGTGATTGTGGCTGCACTTATGATGCCATCATATAGACTCCAGGATTATTGGAGCCTAAACAACCTCCAGATCTTAGTTGCACGAAGCGGGAGCGGGAGAGGGAGCGGGGGCGGGAGCGGGAGCGGGGGAACGCGGCCACTTAGAGGAGTCGTAAATTAGGAGCGTTTATGTATTATTTTTATTAATTATATTTTATTTATTATAATGAATAATAAATTATGTTAAAATAAATAATAAATAAAAATTAGATGTTTTTATTTTATAAATTTTGATTTTTTTTATTATATATGATTAAATAGATTTCTTTTAAACAATTAGATAATTTATTACATGTTAAAAAGTTAAGAAATAATTGTTAAAAAAATAAATAATAAATAAAAATTATATTATATATAATAAAATAAATAATTTTTTATTTTACAAATAAAAATTATATTGTTTATGATAAATTATATTTAAAAATTATATTATAATTTATAAATTATAAATTATAATATAATATAATATATATAATATAATTTATAATTTATAAATTATAAATTATATTATATATATTATATTATATATGATAAATTATGTTATACAAAATAATGAAATCGAAGAGGGAAAGAAAGAGAGAGAGACAGAGAGAACAGAGACGAAGAAAGAGAGGGAGAAGAAGAGACGCAACATAGATCGAGAGAGGGAGAAGCAGAGACGCAACAGAGACGAAGAGGAGATCGAGGGTGAGAGAAGCGAGAGAGAGAGAGAGAGAGACGAAGACCTAGGGCTTCGAAGAGAGGGACGAAGACTAGGGCTTCAGCAGGGAAGTCAAACGGCGAGATCGAAGTCGTCGAACGGAGGATCGAAGCCAGCGACCAGGTACTCCGTTTGCCCTCTCAATAGTGCTCCCTTCCCGCATCAGATTCGCGTTTCCCTCTCCTTAGATTCGCGATTCTAATGCGATCCTTCCTCAGAAACGCCAAATCGCGCTTTTTCCTCGGAGTCGTCGCCATCTGAGACGATTCCTGCTACTAAGCTCCAGATAGGTGGCAAGTTCTCATTGACTCGACAGGAGGGTGATATTAGCCTTACTAGCTGTGTCTTATGATTCAAGTCCTTGGGAAGGTTGCATCATAGGAGCTACAGGTGTAACTGTGATATCTTGAGAGGCGTATCATATGTGCATCAGATGTAAGTGTAAGGTCAGCGTCCCTTTCTCTAAGCCAGGTCAAAGAGGGAGCTGTCACTACAGGGAGATAGCTACACGACCTTGACGATCCCGAGGTCTTAGCCTCCAACCCACAATCCTCCAATGATCCCAAGCGAGAGTGCCTAGGTCCTACTCTTAGCGTAGGCAGCCAAAGGGGTGAGTGCATGGGTGAGTCAAGGGCTCATCCTGAGTAGCTAAGTAAACATAGGTGAGCTAAGAGTCCAACTATGTTGCTACGGAGCTGGGCTAAGTGAGTAGATAATATATTTCTTGAGTTATGAAGGACCATAGAGAGCTCTATGTGAGCCAGCTCTATCAAAGTGAGTTGTGGCCCTGTTTTCAAACTTGGTAGTGTGCATGCCCCCGCTTAGGCTAGGCATACGACCCCAACTCATTGTGGTGCCTCAGGGGTCTGCCACATGGATGTGTGATGGAGATGACGTGACACCCATAGGGCTCGCCACATGCCAAGCATAATATAGATACCCACAACGGGATTGCTTTGATTGCTTGTGCAATGAGCCCTCAGATCTAGATGATCCAATTGTGAAGAGAAATCAAAAAACAAAAAAAAGCAAAACTATATAATTTTATACATTAATGCAGAGTTAAGGTACATAATTTACAATAATAATAAACAGGAAATATCCAGTCCAGCTTTCTCATTTCTTACCGAGACAATTTCATTATTTTTATCGTTTATTACCAATGATAACTCATGATACCTAAACTTGGCATCTCAATCTATACTCTTGCATGGACACAGATATGGAACGATAAGTTCTGAAAAAGTAGGAAATGGACAGTGAATGTATGGGAATGTCTTTTTGTGTATGTGGATTGTGGACATGCATAACCAAGACAGTTCGTCTCCTTCTTCTCCCCTGTGCTTTCCTTTGGTTGAAATCCTCAGTCACAGCAACCACTTCTGTGTTGATTCTAATGATTTATACAAGCCCTTTCTTATGAGGAGGATATTCTGTTGTGTTACGTTTTAGGTTGCTAGTAGTATATTTGACAGTGTTCAGTCTCAATGCCAAAGACATGTCATATAGGTCCAGGCATGTGCTCAGAGCTTAACTTTACTTAAATTTTCCCCCAAATTATGGGTGTGTCCAAGACAACGGTACACATTTCAGGATCTGCAAATTATTAGGCATAGAAAAGGACCTCATAAGCAGAGCTCCTTCATAGAAATACCTCTACTATAGAATTCATGATTGAAAGAAACTCCTATAGTTATAGTTATTTTGTCTTCTGCAATCTAGCAGTGCCTAACAAGAAAAGATTATTATATACTTGGAAGTTGAAACAACAGTACCTTCTCTATTTCACCAACTTCACTTGCCTTGGCCACACGAAATTGTAGCGCCTCCTCTTTCTGAGATCTGCCAGAAACATAGAAAGAACAACAAAATCCTATTATATAATACATGAATTCATGTGATTACAGATCCAGAAAACCACATGCCATTAAATGTACTAAGAAATAAGGAAGTAGAACTGTCAACAATTCTTCAACGTACACACCAATGTCCCAACTAGAAGATGAATCCTAAACCTCCCCCCTTTCAGGTGGTAGGAAACACCACTTAAGCTAACAGCATGCTCCTTGTTTTATCTCTCTGTTGGTACATAAATTTTAAACCAAATTTATGTTGAAATTTCAAATACAGTCAATCACACACATAGAGCCTACGATAAGATTGTTGTAGGCAATCACTTCCCAAAATGATTAACTTGCTCCGTTGAAGTGTATAAATAAAACAACGTCGTATCTTAACGACGTTATTCAAGATGCTCAAATGACACGTGGAGCCTACGAAAGATGACACTTGTAGAGCCTACAGCAAGGACACCACACAGGATGAAACCCCAAAGATCAATCCGGTTAATCAGATATACGATTAATCAGATAGCGCTATTATTCAAAATTCAAATAGGCGCTATCATTCAATTTGAAATTCAAAATGAAGATGAAGCGTTCCTATCACCTGATGGCCCTCCATAAATATGAGGACCATCACACAAGACGGGGGGATTGGAAAATCAAAAGGGAAAAGATCAGAGAGAGAGAGAAAGAAATTGAGAGCTAAAGAAGTCGTTACAAAAAAAAGAAGAAGAGAAGCCTAGAGAACTGAAGAGCCTACGCTAATGGCGATGAACAGGTAAAGGGTTCCAAACCCAAACTGTATTTTGTATTCGAGGGTTCAAAACCCATAACAATCTTAATAAAATATTTCTTTTTTTTTAATTTGTCATTTGTTGTTTATTTTGTTCTTCATTAATCGGAGGTTTCATTTGTATAAAATGTGTAATTAACGATCTGAAATACAGATCGGAAATAAGAACCTGCTATTCAAATAATCAACACTGTTTAGTCCAAAAAACTAAACAGTAGATATTTGTAACATAAATTTTGAAATGTGTTTAAACACTTCATGTTTTAAAATTTGTGTCTACACTCTCTCTGTTAGTTGCTCCTTGTTGGACATCTCTTCTCTCTGGACCAGAAGGATTTCTCATCCTTTCTCCAAAGGTTATACTCTTTTGTATTTAATATCACCAACTCTTTCTTATCTAAAAATTGGGAAACCCTAAGGTACACACCCCTCCAAGGGTGAGGGGTGTGTACCATATGCACCCTATCACAATTAGCACAACTTTACCACAAAATTTCGCAACATCAATCACAAAATGTGTAACCTCGCTACAAATTAGCGTAACAAAATGTCCAAAATTTTGTGGTTCATGTAACAAAAGTTTGTGACTTGGTTATAACATTTTTTGTTACGCTAATTTGTGGCAAGATTATGCATTTTGTGGTTGATGTTACGAAATTTTGTAGTAAAGTTACGCCAATTTGTTAAAAATTTGAAACCTGATAAGGGTACTTTTGTGATTCTTTAGACTCTATTTAATAGAAAGACATGGGTTGAGGGATGAGGTGTACAATTCATATCAAAACCCTATTTTTCTTCCTGTCCTTTCATCCTTTCTATCTATTCTTTATTTTAACTAACCAAACAACACTGATTGATTTGTTCATTATGATGAAGCATGAAGATTTATCATTGAACCAACAGGGCTAGCCCAATTGGCCAAAACCCCTGCACCTCACTAGGAGGTCAAAGGTTAGACTCTCCCCTCTGTGCGGGGGCTCTCTCTCCCATTTTAGGAGTTCAGGTTTGTATTAATAATTTCCAGGTACCAAAAAAAACGTTATATCAAAGGATTACACGAAGCCAGTTCACGTCTAAAACAAGAGATAATGACCATTCACTGTGTCTCTTATATCAAAATTATGAAAAGAAAACACACTGGAACCACAAGTCAAAAAACGTCATAATCCTGCCCACTTATCCTTACGCATAGAAGCCTGTGTACGTTTTGAACTCCAGATCACAATTTTAACCAATTTAATTTTAAAATTGAAAGAAGAAAATGAATAATTCTTGTGCAAGGATGATTAGTTCATGCGACGGCAACAAAGGACGAAGGAGAAGACATAACTTATCAGGAGTAATTAGAAATCGTACTAATAACAAGATAACATGATAGCCAATCAAAAAATAAAATAAAATAACAAGATAACATGATATATTATGCAAAAATGCTTTGAGAATTTCTCTGATTCAAAACAAAATGCAAACACAATTCTTATGTGCAATATCATACCTGCTATCTGATATGCGCTTCTCAGCTTTTGAGGTGGAGCTAGCAAGAGATTCAGACAAGACTTTCAGCTTATCAATCTGCTCAATGTTTTTAAGAGGTAACTTCAGTAATTTAAACTTTTATAGTTTATAAGGGAACCTAGTAAGTGCCACTCAAAAGATACTACAATGATTACTTTCAGAGTTACATGATAGTAGTACCAGTATGGCACTACCATGAAGTGAAATAAGGTAAGAGGATTACAAATGAAAAAGAAGAAAGAAAGAAGGAAAGGCAGGGACATTAAATTTTGGTTATTTCTGCACAAAAATGACATGGAAACTCTCATTTAAATAAAAAAATAAAAAGAAGGCATCCAAAACCATCAGGCAAAGGCACCAACAAGATTGATGAAACTGTACAAAACCATCAGGCAAAGGCACCAACAAGATCGATGAAACTGTATGACCCATTTTTATTTTTGATAAATGAAACTGTATGACCCATTTAAATTGTACATCACAATGAAATCTGACAGATGGGTCAGTCTAAACCATTACGGTGAGCTTATAAAGCATCCAAAGATTAGTTGCAGGAACCTCATGAATCTGCTCCAAAATCATAATTCCACAAATCAGAGTGAGAAGCTAGTTACAATAATCATGTTCCCATCAAGAAACTGCGTTCCCAACTATGATGAACCTCTCAAACATATGAATCCCAAAGAAACAAAAGAAAATTTACGAAGAGAAAATCTATAGCAACCATCAGATTATGGAAAAATTTAACCCAAATTTATTCTAATACTTCGTATTTACATTATATTTGTTTATATTTACAATAAACAATTTACAATTGACACCGGTCACCACTATTTTTCATATTCAGATATATTACAACTAAGTAAAAAATATATATATTTCTTGCAATGTATTAATATATTATATAATATATAAATGCTCTCATAGGCACTCCCAAACTTAGACACTACTATGAGCCCACACTCCCCAGCCCCAGCCCCTGCCCCCACCCCGGCTTCCACTTCATGCAACAAAGATCCAAAGTTGAGTAAGTGACTGCCAAATGATTCATGAATGTACAACAAAAATATTTTCTGCGACAGAAGTCATAAGGAGAGGTATCACCAACATTAACACATAATTTCAGAAAACAACCTTGTGGCACAAAAGAAATATACCTTCAGTGCATGAATCTCCGGAGAATCACCACTGTTAAGAGATTTCTTCTTCAGTAGAAGCCCTTCTAATCTGGAACAAACTCGAATATGTGCAAGAGCTTCTTTCAGAGCCTACAAGAAGAATACAGCTATTAGATTCTCTAGCCCATAAATGTACACTCATCATACAGTTTAGAAACAGATTTATGCTTTTGAAATTTCTCACCAGTGTACGAAATTATATTCTAATTATCTCAAACATCTAACGATTTGAACCTCGAAATAACATTAAATTTAATACAAAATAATTATGACCAGTTATTTTCTTTTTCTTTTCTGGTGAGTTCTAGACGTAACACAGGTACTATATCATATATGGATGAGAACGAGTAGCTTCACACAACAGTGCATACAACATATTGAACAGAAGTAAGCAGAACTTGAAAGCTAGGAAAACCATGCCATCAACTACTAATAGTAGACTTAAGCTATGACAACTCTGATAATCAATTCCGACGCTTCAGAGGCTGGCATCCATGACCTCATAAATTTGCACTGGTAGGAGACTGATGATAATTTGACATGATAAAGTGGAAATATAATGCCAAATAATGTTTTCCACATTGATAGCATTTACTAATCAACACATCCCAGACTATTAATATTTTAATTACCACGATAATGACATGGAAAGGACAAGGTCACAGCAAGAATCACCTCTATTGTAGCGACAGTTGTTCCTTTGGAGGCTGATTCATGACCTTCACCAGTAAGATCCCTGGATGCTGTCAATCCATCGAGTTTCCTTTTTAGAGAAGAGGCTTCAGCATCTATTCTGTAAGCAGAGAGCAGGAAGGGGGAGGGAGGAAAAAGGAGAAAACAACTTATTAGCTTTTGTTTCTGTATTAGCAATAGCTATTAAACCAAAAACTGAGGGTAAGTAACTGACAAATTTCAGGCTGGCAGTGGCAGCACAAACTGAATTTGAGAAAAATTGATGCTTCTTCCCTGAAATTTAACTTGATTAAAATAAAGAGCATGTTTGGCAGAATTTTTAGAAACAGATTTGGTTTATTATACTGGAAATTATTTTCAGAAAATTCAACTAAAAGAAGTTTTCAAGAAATGCCACTTATGTTTTTTCTTCTCTCTCTCTCTCTCCCTCTCCTTTTTTTTTTTATTTAATTATTATTATTATTATTATTTTTAGTATGAACCTCCATTTCACAAGTAATCAAAAAAAAATGTCATACTAAATGACCAAAACATTGCTTTTCTCAAGATTTCTACAGTTTTGCAAAACACATTTTAGAGAACTTAGTTTTGAAAACTCTGCCAAACAAGCCCTCTTTCCTACAAGAGTTAATAAACACAATTGTTCTTGATTTTTTTCACTTCTCAAAATTGTTTGTTGCATATTTGTGACACAATTCAAAAGAAAGTAAATAGAGTGTATTTGTACAGGTGGGAGAACCATGAAGAAATCCAAATTCAAGTACTAGAAATCCAAATTCAAGTACTAGAAATCCAAATTCATCATGTGAACAAGGACTCCCTTACAGAGGGAAAGAAGGGTTTATTTTCACATTAGAGTCAATATGACTATGGCATGATCCGATTAGATGCAACGCTGCCAACAAGCAAGCACATTGACAAGACAGTATGACCATAAAAAATGGCATTTTGGGGTTTCAAATGCATGACGTATCATTTCAAAAGCCTCCCATCTTTCAAACAGAAACACTGACATAAAAAGAACATGCAGCATAAATAGAAACAAAAAATAAAATGGCAGGACTTTTTTTGAAAAGAAAAGTAAAATCCAAAATGTTAAACCGGAAAAAAACAAAAAACAAAAAACAAAAAACAAAAAACAAAAAACAAAAAACAAAAAACAAAAAACAAAAGACAAAAGACAAAAAACAAAACAAAACAAAAACAAACAAAACAAAGAATCATTGTGAACAAAATCAAAATAAAACAAAGCAGAGTAACGGAAGATAATATCATTTTTACAAACATTGGAGTGCATCGAAATTAAACTCCGCAAACATCTCACGAAATGATATGTACAACTCATACTGGAAAAAACAAAAGAAAAAAGGTTTCCATTTTAAAGCAAGGTAAACACATCCACAGGGAATAAGAAAAGAAAATTTGTGGCTTCTCAGTTACCTTCTGAGATCAGCATTAATTTTCAAGCCTGTGATGGCACATTGTGTGAACTGGAGCAATTCATCCTGCTTTACCTGACAAAGGAAAGTGGCAATAAACTTATAAGCCGACATTCTACAATTAAATATAGGAACACAGAAGAATGATCCTCCAAAAAAAGAATATATAATTGGGAAAGTAAGAGCAGGAAAGAGAGCACGCATGCAAAGAGCCAAAGAAGGCAAAATTAATGGCATCAGAGGGTCCAAAGCAAGTATGCGCTTGTGCTTGTAATTACTGATGAGAAGTCCCTTCAATTCAAGTCTCTTAATGAAGATTCCATTAGATTACACGCAAACCGGAGCAAATTGCAATTACTTATGAGATATTCACTTAATTCCAGTCCGTTAATGGTACTTTCAATAAGCTGTATGCAATTTGCAGTAGATTCTGCTCATGTTGGAGGAGAATCCATTCCTTTCATGAAATGAGAAACTAGGCGAACAATAATGAATGATTTAATATACAATTCTTCATAGAGGATACATTCTCACTATTAGCTATTTTACCAACCAAAATAGTTGTGATGATATCAAAAAAAAATCTTAAACAACACAGAAAGCAACAAGTACTGTATTTCTTATTCTAGTTGCACAGTTGTAATTTGTAAACTGCATATGTTACAACTTACAACCATCAAACAAATATTCCCAAGTTGATTAATCATCATCAATCTTCCCTAGCTCCACAGCAGCTACCAAAATCCACTCTTACATTTTTATTTTCTTGGATAAAATTTTGCATCAGCACCATGATTAGGAGTGACATTGCCAAACCTTTGTTAAACTATTAACAGATGCTTGCACAGATCCTAATCCCCATTGGCCAACATCTAGAGGCTACTGTGATGCATTTGAAGGCATTTGAAAAAATAACCTTCTCCTCTCTCAATCATGAAGCTAGCCAATGTCCTTATCATATTCATTAGGTCAAAAGGCTCCGTTTGGTTTAGTTTTTGAAAAGAGTTTTGAGTTGTATTTTAAAAGATGAGTTGTTGAAAAGAGTTTTGAAAATTGAAAATTTGTTTGATTATAAATTTTGAAAATAATTTTGGGATGATTTGTAGTTTTATATATATATATATATATTTTATTTTATTTTTTTGTAGTTGAATAGATGGGTGTGAGAGAATTTGATTGATTGATGTTTAGAATGTGAGAAAATGAGAGAGGATAGACAAGAGAGAAAAAGTGATTGATTGATTTATTAATTAAAAAGAGAGAGAGAGAGAGAGAGAGAGAGAGAGAGAGAAAAAAAACAATTTTAAAAAGAGTTTCGAAAACTAGAAAATCAAACATGTTTTTTGATTTTTTGATCCAAATGTTAATTTAAAAACTAAACCAAACAGTACCTTAAACTTTAAAGGAAACAATGTTTCACTGTAGACAAACAGATGGTAAAGGTATTGCATCTTAAATTCACTGGTGATGCCATCTTCACCATATGTGCCCCCTAGAATTACTTGAACAGGTTAAAGACAGACATTATCTCAAGTTGAAAAAACAAACAATAAATTTCCAGAAGAAACCATTGAAGTGGCGCTGACATTGACGATGAAAGATTATCCTCATAGCCCGTTTAAATGGGCATGCAGTATCTTGATCTTGCCCATTCAATTTAATCTAATTTCCAGAACTTCATTTTGACAAAGTTAGAAACAGTTAAATTGCTAGGCAACAAGAATAAAAAACCTAAGTGGCATAATGATGTAGGACGAGCAGGGAAAACACTTTCCTACTGAGTGCTAAGCAACATAGCGGATTTCTTCTGGAAATTAAAAGTCATTGGTACAAAATTGTCAAACATAATTGTAGTCTTCATTTGAACCTCTGGTATTCCAATTTAGTTAGCGTACAAAGCAGACGAGCTCACATATATTATTTTCTCAACCCCTTCCCTTCTTTTTCAATCACATACAATACTAATCGGGTGTTTGGGAAGAAGGATTTTTGGCTGTTTGGGCTAAAATAAAACTAAAAGACAATAAGCTAAAACAGCCAATAAAACAAAATGTCATATCAAACCTATATTCATTTCACTTTTTCTCTCATAAACATCACATCCAACTACAAAAAAATCCAACCTTCTTCCCAAACGCAACTATTTTAGCCTACTAAAATAGCCAAAAACTAAAATAACCTACTAAAATAGCCAACTTCCCAAACAGAGCCTAAATCACCTTTAAAGATCACCATCTCCAATTTAGCACCCACTGCCGCCTTATCTCCTCCTCTTTCATGTCTTTCAGTGGTGCTTCCATTGCAAACTCAAGGCAGGCTTCCGTATGGATTCAAAAAAAACTTTGGTTACCACCCTCATCATGGTGAAATTTGTTAACCCCCATGGGGTTCATTGCCATACGGCTAAAATATATTCCTTGCTCATCACTATATGCCATTGTTCCCTTCTGAGGAAAAAAAATGGTTAGAAAATGTAGAAATTTAATGTATAAAGAGAAATAGAGTATTGTATTATTGATTGATATATCGATATATTACAATGATTCCTATATATAGAAGAGAGGATGTGGGAAGAGAATAGGTGAGTGTGCAGTAGGTATGGAGTAGGTAAAGTGGAGGTGGTAGGTGGAGTAGGTGAAGTGGAGGTGGTAGTGGTGTAGTGGGTTAGGTTTAGTGGGTGAAGTAGGTGATAGGTTTTAACAGCCCCCCGCAAACTCAAGGGGGATAGGAACTAACCAACTTGAGTTTGGAGAGAGTAACAAAACAAGAAAATACATAAAAAATAAAAGAGGATAGGAGACACTGTATGGTCGTGTCAGACCATTGGTGGAACGGCGCAGCATGGCTGATCTCTTGAAACAAGCTGAAGAAGGGTGGTGTGATAGTCAAGGGACACTAGAAGAGATTACTGCAAAGCTACAAATGAGGCAAGAAGGGGCTTTCAAGAGAGAAAGAGCACTTGCATATTCTCTTGCTCAAAAGCAATGGAAATCAATCCAGAGTTCTGATTCCCAAACAAATATCCCAATGTCCTATCTCAAACGGTACCGCCGGCGGCGCCACGTGGAGGGAGATCTCGGAGAGACGAGATTGGTGTTCGGTTTCGACGGTTTTGAGGAGGGAAGTGGCGGCTTTGACCTCCTCGATTGTGGGTCTGGGAAGGAGTGATTTGTAGGTTTTCATGATCTCTTCTATGGCTTCTACGTAAGCTGGTGATGGGTTTGGATTGGCTATTGAAGCCATAGCTGTTGGGTTTGAGAATAGCAGTGTTGCAGAGAATGGAACAACTGGAGAGGAGGAGGAGGAAGAAGAAGAGAGCGAGAGAGGAGTAGAAAATTTGAGTGGGGAACATGAGTGTGTGGAAAGAATGAAAAAGAAAAAGGATGGGTTGGATTTGTACAAAATAATAAGAAAATAAAGGAGTGGAGAAGGTTGTCTCCCCTGCCTGAAGTGAAATCAGTTGCCTTAGTGGAAGAAGAACTCATCAGCACCGAATACTTAAAATCATTATCAGTGATGACTAATGATGCTTTTACAGCTGCTGTAGCTACTGTGGTCCGAGCTCACCCTAAAGATTTCAGGGTTGTGAGACAAGAATGGGCCGCAATCCGGATCTAAACTGCTTTCCGTGGCTTCTTGGCAAGAAGAGCTTTAAGGGCCTTGAAAGGAGTGGTGAGGCTTCAAGCTTTGGTTCGGGGTCGGCAGGTGAGGAAACAGGCTGCTGTGACTCTGAGATGCATGCAGGCTCTTGTTCGAGTGCAAGCCCGGGTTAGAGCTCGTCGTGTTCGTATGTCTATGGAGGGTCAGATTGTACAGAAGATGCTAGATGAACGGCGCAGCATGGCTGATCTCTTGAAACAAGCTGAAGAAGGGTGGTGTGATAGTCAAGGGACACTAGAAGAGATTACTGCAAAGCTACAAATGAGGCAAGAAGGGGCTTTCAAGAGAGAAAGAGCACTTGCATATTCTCTTGCTCAAAAGCAATGGAAATCAATCCAGAGTTCTGATTCCCAAACAAATATCCCAATGTCCTATCTCAAACGGGACCGCCGGCGGCGCCACGTGGAGGGAGATCTCGGAGAGACGAGATTGGTGTTCGGTTTCGACGGTTTTGAGGAGGGAAGTGGCGGCTTTGACCTCCTCGATTGTGGGTCTGGGAAGGAGTGATTTGTAGGTTTTCATGATCTCTTCTATGGCTTCTACGTAAGCTGGTGATGGGTTTGGATTGGGTATTGAAGCCATAGCTGTTGGGTTTGAGAATAGCAGTGTTGCAGAGAATGGAACAACTGGAGAGGAGGAGGAGGAAGAAGAGTTTAGTAGGCTGATCAAGTGGTTGCTGGGAAGAAGAGTTCGTCGCCAATCAGGAGAGGTTGAAGCCCTAAGAGGAGAAGACCGAGGAGGATCGATCCAAGGTCGACGATCTCCGTGGATAAGGATCGACTTTATCTTGAAGAAGTCCAACAACAGAAAGAACCTTATTATGCATCAAAATGGAACAACCAGGCTGTCAGGTCTATGGTCGAGAAACGGCCGGAAATGTTGACGCCGTGGATTGCTCGAGGGCGGTGAAAGGCAAGGTTGGGGAGAGTTGGAAGATGCAGGAAAGTGAAGGTATGTGTAGAAAATGCCAGCGGGCAGCGAAAGCAAGGTTGCCGGCCGGCTGCCCGCCGGTGAGAAAACAAAATACAGGCCTAAATCTTACAGCTCTGATACCATGTAGAAATTTAATGTATAAAGAGAAATAGAGTATTGTATTATTGATTGATATATCGATATATTACAATGATTCCTATATATAGAAGAGAGGATGTGGGAAGAGAATAGGTGAGTGTGTAGTAGGTATGGAGTAGGTAAAGTGAAGGTGGTAGGTGGAGTAGGTGAAGTGGAGGTGGTAGTGGTGTAGTGGGTTAGGTTTAGTGGGTGAAGTAGGTGATAGGTTTTAACAGAAAATTCACAACCCCCACCCTCAACCTTGCTCGCAGAGAGAGAGAGAGAGAGAGAGAGAGACTGTTTAACATTCACAGGGATTTCTCAAATTTGCACATATAACAACTAAATCTCCAAAGTGTAGCAAAATGTGTCAGGCCCTTACTAATACTTCATCTTCATAGCTTGAAAAAGCATTTGCAAGATCCTGTATGCTGCTCACTATTGCATTATGAACTGCTTTCCCTCCAGTAAGACAAAGCCTGCACATTGTCAAATATAAAGAGAAGGTTCAAATACAATTGAAGCTGACCTACCCAATATCATATACTCGGAATGCAGCATTCCTAAAGAAGAAAATACACTTTCCCCATATGTGGGTCAAGCCAGAAACACAATTTGGACAAGATTAAAATAGTGATCAAACTCACCCAAACAATTCCAGAAGTAAAGAAACTTCCTCTTCATTTGGTGCTTCAAGAATCTAAACCACAGAAAACAGTTAACCTGCGTTAACCTCCATGATCAGGAATTAAGAGCACAAAATAAATTTTCATAAGAACATGTCACTAAGGATGCGGAAAGCTCAAGAAGAATACCAAAAGTACATAAAGATTCTAACCGAGAAAAACAAACAAATCCAAATATTCTTCATTTATGTAAGTAATTTAGATAAGTTGATTAAAGAACAGATAAGTTTAAAGCCATAAGGACTATGACCCATGATTAAGGCTCACACCTCCCTCAATGGCCTAGCAAGTGCCTCATGTTGCACTTACGCCTGGAAAAACACTTGTAGAAATGAGAATTGCATAGCATGTGCATCAATCATAGATTCCTAGAGCAAAGCAAACTACAAAGTTTGCAGGAGACCATATGCTTCTCTTTAGCTAATAACAAGTTGAAATAACAGAAACTAATCCCACATACCATAGATATTGTGATGCCCTCCAAAGCCTGGCTGTATAGAAAAACATCCAGAAAATTCATTGGTTCACCCTCCAAATCAGGGTCATAATACAGAACCTATCCGTGATAAGCAAGCGTTAGAAAAAAGCAACTTCGTCAAAGGACAGCATGCATCAATACTTCTAATGTGAAGGCCAACCTCCATTTCACAAGTAATCAAAAAAAAATGTAAGCATTCAAATATGAAGGATATGCAATCCTGTGACTCGTCCTAATCTCATACCTGAGCTATACAAGAAAGCACAGAACATGTTGTATTATCAATATTACTTTTCCAACAAAATGGCATGGCAGTAAATAAAAGAGTACATTGAAATGAAGTCTAACACCAGCAGCATGTATTTAAACAACAAATTAAGTATGTGAAAGTTGGGACGTATAAAGCAGACTGGTTTCTTTACAGTAAAGGGAGTTGCAACAATCTTCAGGAATACTTCAACCAACATTTCACATGTTTTTTTTTTCACATGTTAAAAGGGCTCAACATCAAAAAGCGAGGACCTGAGGACAAGAAACTCATAACCCGTCATATTAGTAAGCTCTTCAAATGTTTAAAATAACATGTGCAAACAGGAACTTCCAATGTTTAAAAGAAAGGTTTCATCTTAAGAAAACCAAATGAATGCTTCAAAGTGATAATGGCAAAAATTGCAGCACTAGAAGAAAAAAAATGATAGGGCGTGTAACACGATAACTTAATGCACGGATCACAAATGTTAGGCTATGGCCCTAAAAGCTGTCAATGAAGTGCTTGATTTCAATCAATCTAAAGCGGCACACCTTACATGCATTAGTAATTTAGTACTATTCATGTCTACGCCTGCCAGATCATGAACGTGGGACTCGCTCATACAACTTTTACATAACTCCCTCCATATAAGAGCTTTATGGAAAAAAAAATTACCAAATCCAACTCCTCAAAAGTATGGGGCCCATTATCCCTCGATATAATGGTGTTAAGAGAAGGTTCCGCCAACACAAATAGCAAATCGAAACTTCCCAGAAAACCAAATACATAATATTTTATTATCCATGCAAGACTAACCTAGAGCCTCTTAATAACTTTTTAGAGAATATGCAAATGTTAGACTGAAGTTAAAGAAGCATAGACCGAAAACAAGAATCATGATTAGCAATACCAATTCAAAAAAGATGAAAGGCCAATTTAACACAATAGGACTACTCACTAAAAAAGGTTTTTTCAGATTATCCTTTGGTTCTTCAGAAGGATGATTCTGCTGAGCATTCTTTTCTTTATCCTCTGAGGAAGCCACAGATAATTTGTCAATTTCTTTAAGTGCCACCAACCATCTTTTCATCAACTGAACCCTCTCTGGACCACTACAAGAAACAGAAGCTTCTTCTAATCTTTTAACAGTCTTCCTAAAGCTTTTGAAACTCCTACCCCCCTGCATATATATGCAACTTGGAATTTCAAATAACTAGTAAAACCAGATACCCAACAAATAAACAAGAAGGTTTAAAAAACTAAATGTAAAAACATATATCCTTGATACTTGGAGCAACATACTTTTATGACAAAAGATTGAATGAGGTCAATATATCTCTTAAATGGTAGATAATAATAGATAGACGCAATTCACTTTTGCAAATTAACAACTTAAGTAATTTTTTTCCTTTCCTTTTTTTTTTTTTCCCCTTTCGAGACTAGTAAATTAACAAATGAAATTGACACCCTCTTCTCAAAAGAACCATGAATTGCAGTTCCAAAATGCAAAAGTCTCTCTCCCTTGGGCAAGGAAAGCCATGGCACACCCTAAGTTTTTCAAAAAAAATTCTATTACCCCTCTAATTTCTTAGTATTTCTACAATATATTATATATAGAATGATCTCCTAAGTTTTTAAAAATTTCTTTTATTGACCCTCCGTATTCCTACAATATGTATGGCATGACCCCCAAAAATTTCACTTTTTACATAATATTATCAATTCTATTGATTTAATATGTAAACGCCATTGTTTATTTTATAAATTATAAAAAATCATCAAGGTAATTTTTTTATTTATACAAATTATATTAACTAATAAAATACACAGTCTATTAAATTATACACCAAGATCTTAATCATGTAGCCATAAAAAATTATATGAAATAATTAAAATAAATATTGAGAAATGACTGACATAAATTTATTATTTTTTTTACTATTTATTCATATCACTTATGTGAGTAATTATCATTTTTAAAAAATAAACCCTTTCTTTTTTTCTTTTTTTTGCGCTATACTTACCTCGGCCCCCTAAGAAAATTTTATGGCTTTGTCTTTGTCTACTTTCACGGTTTAGTTCTTACGACAAACTTAATTTTAGACACCTATCACTTTTTCAGCTCTTCTGGATTACATTACATAACTAATTTTTCAAATATACATGTTACATCTATCTATACTGTAATATAAAGCACACAACTCGGTTTAGCGTAAACTCTGTCACACTTTTTCCATTCCCAAATTTCCCCTATACAATTCCCTCACTCATATTTTGATTTCAAATTTTGATAATTTCTTCATGTACATTCAACTGGTTGATTTTCACATACAAGCTTGTATAGTTGTGTATAAGAGTTGAAATTTGCACAAAATCCAACTAATTAGTAATAAAGTGAGAGTGCAATTCTACAAACAAACATCAAACCAATAAACAAAATCAAAAGGATTTGAAAACGAAGCTAGGGCAAAATTACCTTGCGATCTTGAAGGATTTCGGCGACAGCTTGACCGGCTTGTTGGACGACGGTGTCGGCATAGCTCTTGACGGTTTTGTTCCCAACCTCCACGAAATTGCTCACCGCCGATTTCCACCACGACGCCATTGTTATTTCTGCTAGGGCTAATTCTCAATATGTGTGTGTGTGTGTGTGTGTGTGAATTTGTAGAGAGAGATGAGAGAAACTCAGAAACCGTTGCTAATTACTATAGAGACAGAGAGAGAGAGAGAGACAGAGAGAGAGAGTATTTTGTGAAGTTTTGAACATGTTGCGATTTGATAAAAAAAAAAAGAACATGTTTGCGATTGAGAAGGGCGAAGGATCCATCAAGTCGCATGGTATGGCTCGTTATTATTATCAGACGATGTCGTTTCAATAGTCTTAGAGGTTGTTTGAAATTTTTACTTATATGGTATATTTTAAAAAAATTTACAAAACAATATAAAGAAAAATTAAAAAAAATGATGTAATTCAAATAAGTGTGCTTATTAAATAAATATATTTATTTAGATTATTCCTAAATAACCACTAATGAAATGATTATCCATCGAATTTATTATCACTGGAATCGCCCGAATTTGTGCCAGCCGGACGACTGGCTTCACCTTCATCTATCGCAGTTATCACCCTATCATCTAGGCGACCGGCCGGTTGACCTGCCGAATGACCATCATAAACAAATTTGGACAATTCAAATAATATCAAATTTGATAAATGTAGCATTGCTATAATCTTTAAATGAATATCTGACCTGACCAAACCCATCCTTGTATGTTAATGGGTCGGACCGGGTTAGTATTCAAAGTTTTTACTATTTTTTAGATAGTAACAGGCAAGTTTTATAGACCGGACTTTTTTGCTAATAAATTTTACTTCAGTTTTTAATGATATAGTTATCATTATAAAAATATTTTTTTAAAATATAATCCAACTAATTATACTTTTCACTTCAATACAAATTAATATAAATAAAGTAAAAAATAAATCAAGATGTTCAAATGAAAGTCAAAATTTTCACAATTATTTATTATTTTGATAATTTTTTTAGTATTAGTATCAATACCAAATAATCATTCGACAAATAGAAAACAAATATATGAAAAAATTTCAAAAATTTTCTATTATCAAAACAAAAACAAATTTTTAAAAGTTTTCACTCAAAACTCATGAGTAAATAAGTCTGATTTATATGACTTAGCGATAATTACCCCATTATTTTTTCAAAGTTAGCCTTGGATTAGTGTTTAAATCTTAGCCCTTCTCCTTCAAAAGCAAACCACCCTGAGTTACTTGCTTGCAATTCAATCGTTTGTTTTTAAAACACACACATATATTTATATATACTAGTTTTTTTTAAATAAACATGAAAAAAAAAAATGCATGGCACGGGGTCAAATGTTAAAATATAAAAGTTTGTACAAAAAAATATAAATTAATTAAATTATTTAAGTTGATTACTTATGTACTATCTTTTATGAGAACATATGCGACTTAACTAGTTATAAATTTTAGGCACTAAAATTTAAATGGAGTGTATTTATATATTTATACATTTTAATATTTTAAAATATCAATAAATAAATCATTAAGTCAATTAATAGTTTCTAATGATATCATAAATATCTTTCAATGAATAATTTTGATAACTTTATTGCATAAGAAGTTAGTTATTTTTATTTTATTTTGTTATACTTGTAATTTTTAATATTATAGGGGCAATTCATATGGTTGGGTAGCATAGAACTTTTCTTAGCGAGTGTTTGGGGATTAAATTAGTTGAGAAACTTGGGGTTTCACTACAAGAATTTAAACATTTGCCGACCACTTTTGTTGACCAAAAAAATTTTGGTCGCAAAAAAATGACATTTGCCGACCAAATTATTATTTCGTAGCTAAAAATTTTTCCTATTACCGACCAAAATTTTTTTGTTGCAAATAAGTAATTTTTTGCAACCAAATTACAATTTTTGTCACCAAAAATTTGGGCGGGAGCTGTATCATCTTTCAGCGACTAATTTAATTTGGTCGCTGATACCAAAATGACGTCGTTTTGGTATCAGCATTCTCATACAGACATTAGCCAACCAACAGGTTGGTAGGGGATAACTTTACTAATTCAAACACATATAAATCATAAATACGCGCCTCTTTTCTCCCTCAGTCGAATTCGATCAAAGCTCAGTCGCGCCAATCACCTCACCTTACCATCGACCTTGCCGTCCGTCTGCGCCGCCGTCCGTCTTCGCCATTTTTGATTCATCTAGGTATTTTTTTTCAACTTATAATAGTTTCTCTCTGTTTATATCTCTGTGTCTCGCTATTTCTCTTTGATTTCTCATACTCATCATGTTCTACAATGTCTCACCCACCAGGGCCCTCACCATCGTGACTTTTCGGAGCATCTTCAACTCTCCCTAAAAACAATTTCAGGTATAAATCCTCTGTATCACTCTCATGAACTCAGTCTCTGCCTGTGTCTCCCTCTCACTGTTAATGTTTGCTACTGGGATATGTCAATGTTTGCTATTGGGATATGTCGATTTAGGTTGATAAATATGGATTCTGAAATGAATCTAAACTTAGAGTTTGTAATATCTCAATATATACTAGCTTGTGCTAGGCATGCTATGGGCAAATCAATACCTTAGGGGTTGGCATCAGTTGGGTTGGATTGGGCTGAGTTTGAGTTAAGCTAGGCTAGAAAAGACAAGAAAGTCTTGTGCCCAAGTCCAGCCTGGCTCCAGATTAGGCCTAAGTCACCCCAGCCCAACCCTAAATTGATATTACAATCCTAAGCCTATCTAACAAATCCGTGTATTATATAAATAAATAAAAAAAGGGGGCAAATATAAGTAATATTTGCAAAAATATACAAACACCCTTGCATTTCCAATATAAGTAGTTGCCCACCCCTAGGCCTTATGTTTCATGTGTTAATAAAATTTTGAGTGTCATATGTTTGTAATGTGCATCAAACGGTATGTGGATTGACCACAGAACCTAAACTATGAGTGCAATTTGATCGGTACCATACCTTTCATGAGTTGGTGACATACTAACAAAAAGCAACTGGGTTTTGTTATGGTTGACATGAAATTCCGACCAATCTGACCATGTCTTTATAGCCATCTCGTAACTACGTAACATCTCTATTTCTTTGTAAATTCCATCTGTGAAAAATCTAGAAATTCCCCCTAGATATTGATTTGTGATTATGTAACAATTTTAAGCAGTATATAACAATCTCAATCAAACAATCAAGACAAATCAACACAACGATTTTAATATGGAAAAAAACCACAATTGGACACCTCCAACTGTGATTAAAAACCCACGGACACCAGCCACAAAACAATCCACTAAGAAGATTTAAAGGAATTACACAGGTATACTCTCAATTACCTAGCGAATCCACGCCTAATTGAACCAACCTCTATGTGCCTCTTCCAACCCGTCTTCACCTCGGAATTGTCTTTACGATGAGCCACTCCGGAATCCACCAAAGCTTCAGGCTCGAATTCTTCAGAATCCACCGAAGAACAACTCTCTCTCTCTTTTGTAGAACTTGTAGAACAAACCAAACCTTTGATGTATACTCTTTAAAACATGAGTTGAATACTCAATTAAAACATCAAAGAAAACTCACAAAGTATCCCCAGATATAAACCCTAGAACCCAAAAAGAAGATCTGGAGTAGTAATCCTAAAATCTGACCCAACACGCAAATTTATAGAATCTGTCCCGCGATCTCCGCTTGAGCGCCCAAAAGCCCGCTCGAGCGACTTCAGCAAAATATGCGCGAAATATAACAAAGGTCCGCTCGAGCGTAAAATTACACATCTCAGTACTTTTACAGGCGACCAAAACTGCTGGAATCAGGAATTCTCCGCTCGGGCGGGGGAATGTCCGCTCGAGCGGACATGCAACTTGGAATGCATTTTTGCATTTTGCTTTGGGGGCGCTGCCCCTCGACCCCACCGTGGCGCTGCCCCGGACCTGCCAAGGGGCGCTGCCCCCTGAACCCTCGCGAGCTAACCGGGCAGCTCGATCCCCGTCATAATTAGCGAAGTGGCAATCTTGAAAGCATTAGCATCACAAACTTCTCTGAAAGGCACAATTCGAGTTGGATTCGCATCTAAACACTCATAGCCTCACTGAAATAAAAGTGCGAAAAAAATTACAACTCAAAGGAGTTTTGTCAAACGGGATTGCCAAGAAATAAAACCTAACAATCTCCCCCTTTGGCAATGCCGTGACAAAACACACCTAACAAATAAAATCCTAAACACAGGGATTGCCAAGAAATAAAACCTAACAATCTGGACTCTCAAATGATCCCCACCTAATGATCAAGTCATGTAAAAATTTGAAACTTTTCAATAAAATTTCGATAGGATTGATCTAAAAAACAAGTTTTTGTTTAATCATGACGTTGCCAGTTAGGTTAACATGTACTTACAAGACCTTCATTTTGGGTCTTCTCCACCAAAGGTAGGAATTAAAGACAAGTATGTTTGCATCAGTCCAATACTTAGCATGTTTTTCAATGGCTTGAGCTCGAACGATACGATCTGGTAATCGATGCTTCACTGGATCATCAGAGTTAGAGTGCACTAGCAATGGAGCCCAATAGAACTCAACTGTGGCATAAATCACCTGCACAAAGGTCAAGCCATTGCTTTTATTAGCAGTTGCTCCTAACAAAAAATTCCACATATGTAAATGCACTCTTCTTCTTCTTCTTTTTTGGGGGGGTACTACTTTTCAGCTTCACCTCACCAAAACAGGAGAAAAATAATTAGTATTTATCTTTGTACTTGTAATACATTTAGCCTCTAATATAAATATCATGCTGTTAGAACCTTTTTATGAGTATATCAATGGATTGTCATCCACAGTTAGGTATTAGCTTCCTCTAAACGCAATCAATTTTCCAATAAACTTGAATGGATTTAATGCATCCACTAAGAGGATTATAGAATTGGCAAGAGCATTAAGCGTTAGTGTCCGACACAGACATGACAACTTTTTAGAAGTGTCTGTACTTAGATAATGATTATGATCAAGCAGAGAACATGCATTAGATCACTTGTAGCAACACTGTCATTGGTTTCCTGTCCTACTTGTCATCAAAGCATCCTTTAAATTCTCTGCCTAGTCCCCACAGCCCCCCCCAAAAAAAACACACACACACACACACACAGACCTCGGTGGCATCACGTCGAAGGACAAGCATGCCTGCTTCCACACAAACAGCTTTTAGTTGTGCTCCATTGAAATCATCAATAGATGGAGCTAGCTCTTCAAAGTTGACATCTGAGTGAACATTCATCTTTCGGGAGTGGATCTACAATACCAATGCAAATGATTCAGCTAGAATTCCCCATGGTAAAAAAATGAGAATATAAAGTTTGAAGTTCAGAAAGGAAGGATTTTGAAAGCAAGCAAGCAAAACCTGAAAAATTCTAGCTCTTGCTTCTTCAGTGGAATGTGGAAACTCAATTTTATGATCCAATCGACCAGAATGCATGAGCGCAGGATCTAAAATATCAGCTCTATTGGTTGCTGCTATCACCTGCAGTTTAAGAAAGTACCAAAAACAAAACAGAAACAAAAAATTAAACTATTGGAACTAAAGACCCAAATGATGACAAAAAGTAGAGGTAGTCCCACTAGTCATGCTAGTGGGTTCCATATGGGTAGAAGTGGTAGTTGAGAACCATGTCTCAAGTATCCAGCCCGTGAAACAAGTTCTAAAGAAAAAATCTTTGTGGCAGCATGGTATAAATGTCAAGAGCCAACAGTTGCCTTGAAATGACCATTACACTGAAACTATAATCAGTTGAAGGCCAGAGACAAACCTTTATCCGGTCATCGCTACTAAAGCCATCAAGCTGATTGAGCAACTCTAACATTGTCCGTTGAACTTCCCTATCCCCACTAACTTCACTACATTAAAAGAGAGGGAAAAATTTTTAGTGAGACTGTTTATGAAATAAACTCAATTACTAGTCAACAGAAAAGCATAATACAGACATTAAAAAAAAATAGCAAACACAAACTGAAATCAAGTAAAGCTGCAAATGACACAAACACGGTATACCTATCAAACTGTTTCGTGCCAATAGCATCGATTTCATCTATAAAGATGATGCAAGGAGATTTCTCTTTAGCAAGTTGAAAAGCATCACGGACAAGTTTCGCTCCATCCCCAATGAACATCTACATGGATAAAAACCTTAGTTACTAAATTAATAGTAGTGACCTTGACTACTTCACTAGAGCAAAACAAATTAATGACCGCTTAAGTGCATTATAGATTAGTACATATACAATACAATTATTGCGTAGTAACGAAAAATTTCTCGAGGACTAGCTAGCTTAATTCACTACAAGAATTTACACATTTGCCGACCACTTTTGTATGTTTTCATATGAAATTGATGAGATATGTTGTATGTTTTCCAAATTAATAGTGTTTTTTATTTTTTTAAAACACAAATGCTGTTCATGTATGTAGAATCAGCTCTTTTACTCTGCTAATTTTTAACTCTTGGCTGCTTTTGTTGGTCTTATTGTGCTCAGCAGTGGCTATTGGCTGTTTTGTTTGACCGTTTTGTTGCTTCGCTTTGTTTGTTGATTTCTCACCAACTGAAGCTTGGAGCTTGTGCTAGCTCCAAGCTTCCTCTTTATTGAAAGATCTTTTCACACTTTGGTTGTATTCATCAATAAAGTTTTCTTTTGCTGATCACATAGCTAAAAAATATTTGTTACGATATCCATGTTAGCATTGTTCTTTTGATTGCTTTGTTTCATAAGTGAAACATAAATTGTTTCATTTGGTGTGGAATTGTAGAACCCTATTTGAACAATTCTTAATGTAGCTTAATTTAGTTTATTTTATTTTCATTTTTGTGAATCTCTCCTTTCCGTTACTGTTAGCAAATTTCATTTTGTAGTTTCTAACACTTTCTGTAATATTATGTAGATTAATTACTGTAATGGTTATCTTTAACCTTTTAGATGGCCCAAATAGGCAAGGGTTGGATGACAATAAAAAATATATTAAGTAGTAGGGAGTATCAAGAAGGGGTGAATTCATTTATTGAATTTGCGATGAGAAATGTAGGCTTGGAGGATAAGCTTCGGTGTCCATATATTGATTGCTTGAACGACAAAAAACATACGATCCACGTTGTTAGGATTCATTTGATTCGAAGAAGGATATCTCTTTCTTACAAGACCTGGGTGCACCATGGGGAACTTGTTCCCGTGGTTGAACCTCTCATACCGAATGAAGGTCACCATGACATATATAGTGAAATTGTAGGGGAAGATCAGGATGACGGGGATGATTTGCCTGCTATGTTGAAAGAGGTTTGTAGGGGTTTTGCAATGGATGATGAAGGGGATGAATTACCTGCTACTTTTGAGAGTGTGGATAGGCGAAACTTTGATAAGTTATTTAAAGATGCTCAACGTAAACTATACCCGAAATGCACAAGGATCATTGTGTTGTCATTTATTATCAAGATGCTTCACATTAAGGTGTACAACAAGTGGAGCAATAAGTCATTTGATATGGTTATGAAAGTTTTCAAGGACACTCTCCCTGAGTGTGATGAGACTGTTCCATGGACCATATATGCTGCGAAAAGATTCTTACGTGACTTGGGTTTGGGCTACGTTTCCATTCATGCTTGTAGGTATGATTGTGCACTATTTTGGAAGGAGCATGCAAATCTTGATAATTGCCCCAAGTGTGAAGAGCCTAGATACAAGTTGGACAACGGAAAGGGTAAGAAAATCCCTCACAAGATATTAAGGTACTTTCCATTGACACCAAGATTGAAAAGATTGTATATGTCCAAGAAAACCGCTATAGATATGAGATGACACAAGGAGAAACGTGTGGATGATGGAATCTTGAGGCATCCAGCTGATGTTGAGGCATGGAAAGACTTTGATCGGCAGCATCCTATATTCGCCATGGATCCACGAAATGTAAGGCTAGGGCTCGCTACCGATGGTTTCAATCCATTCAGAAATATGAGCACATCATACAGTATGTTATCCTAATGCCTTACAACCTCCCACCATAGAAGTGTATGAAAGAGCCTTTCTCCATAATGTCATTGCTTATTCCTGGACGATCGGCTCCTAGAAGAGATATCAATGTTTATTTACGGCCATTGATTGAGGAGTTAAAGGAGTTATGGGGGGATGGGGTGCGAACTTATGATGCGAAAAACGAAGAGTCATTTAGAATGCATGCTGCACTGATGTAGACCATCAACGACTTCCCTGCATATGGTAACATGTCCGGGTGGACTACTAAAGGTTATTTGGCTTGTCCCACTTGTAATAAGGACGCATCATCACAAAGGTTAACAAGTAAGATAGGGTACATGGGTGCTCGTTGTTACTTGCCCGAGAACCACAGATGGCGAAGGAGCAAGTTGTTTAACGGACAAAGTGAGGTTAGGTGCAGACCGTTGGAGTTATTAGGGAAGCAAATATTAGAGCAAATTGAGACTGGGACATACAAGCCGTTTGGCAAAGGGACGAAAATCCAGTGTTGAATTGGGCAAAGAGAAGCATTATGTTTGAATTGCCTTACTGGAAGATGTTTAAGCTTTGACACAACCTTGATGTCATGCACATAGAGAAGAACATTTGTGACAATTTGATGGGGACATTATTAAATGTGGATGGGAAGAACAAAGACACAGAAAAAGCACAGATTGATTTAGCAAATTTAAAAATTCGGAAGGAGTTACACCTACAGAGTCGTGGTGATAGGTCATTTGTGAAGCCTCCAGCTGTGTACACATTATCCACGAAAGAAAGACAAGGCTTTGGTGCTTTTTTGAAATCAATCAAGTATCCCGATGGTTATGCAGCAAACATCTCCAATTGCGTGAATACTGACAGTGGCAAAATCTCAGGCCTCAAAAGTCATGATTGTCATGTGCTTGTACACCGACTACTTCCGGTTGGGATGCGCGGGTATCTTAACAATGAAATTGGTACGACTTTGTTTGAGTTAGGAAATTTCTTCCAACAACTGTGTTCAAAGACGTTGAAGGTGACACATTTACAGAAGCTAAAGGATCAAATCATACTTGTACTTTGCAAACTTGAGAAGATTTTTCCTCCAGCTTTCTTTGATGTCATGGTTCACTTGGTTGTTCATTTGCTGCGCAAGGCAATACTTGGAGGGCCAGTGCAATGTCGATGGATGTACCTAATTGAACGGTAATTATTTATGCTCTTACCATATCACTGTCATCAACCTTTAATGGTAGTCTATATATTGTCAATGTAGTATGAACATAGTAAAAAACATTTCTCTTGTAGGCTACTTGGAATGCTAAAAGGATTTGTTGCCAATAAAGCTCATCCTGAAGGATCAATTGCGGAGGCGTACATTTCCAAAGAGTGTACAACTTTCTGCTCGATGTATCTTAATGGATTTGAAACAGTGTTTAATCGAGAAGAAAGGAATGATGACGGTAGTGATCACGGCTTGGGGTTAGCCATCTTCTCTCAAAAAGTTCGTCCATTTGGTCTAATTAGTAGGGCACCAGATGTGCCTCTCCACGAACAAGAGATGGCTTAGTGGTTTGTCCTATACAATAGCTTTGACGTGGAACAATATCTAGAGTATGTTTTCAGGCCTCAAAAAAGTTAAATTCGCCATTTATGTTTTGTCTGATTATTCGTAATCATATGTCTTACTTTTCTACAATTTTTATTAATTAGGGAACACAAGAACATTTTGCAAAATGGAAGTACATGTGACACCACAGAGAGGCAACGGGATGAATTTCCTAAATGGTTCAAAGAACGTGTAAGACATACCTATCTATCCAACATTTGAGCATATTATGCTATAACCAACTTGAACAAAGTAACATAACACATATTGCTTATGTAGATAAATCAGTTGCGGAGTCAAGGGTCACCGGAAGCAACGGATGAATTGTGGTCGTTGGCCAACGGTCCTAGTGCAATAGTCAACAAATATTTGGGATGCATTTCTAATGGTGTTTGATTTCATACCATCGACCGTGATAACCATCGTAAAACTCAAAATAGTGGGCTGGTTGTAGAAGGGGAGCATGAGGGTCATTCAATGCATTTCTACGATTACTTGCGGAAAGTGTGGGAAATGACATATTTGTTTAGACATCGAGTTGTTTTGTACCAATGTGAATGGTATAACACCGGTAGCAAGAAGACTTGTCTCACGGATACACATGTCACAAGTGTCGATGTAAAAAGTCGATGGTATGAACATGACCCCTTTGTATTCCCAGCTCAAGTAGAACAAGTATTCTACGTTAATGATACCAAATTAGGTGGGAATTGGAAAGTTGTAGAACGATTCCACCATCGAGGAATATGGAATGTGCCAGAGATGGATGGTTTACCTGATGATGCTCTAAATAGTGTGTTCCAACAAAACGAAACCATCGAGGTTGTACCAATTGTGGACAGAAACGGTATGCAAGTTGAAGGCGGCGGCGATCAAGGGGTTTTGTGTAGAGATGATATTGAAGGTGAAATTATTCCAAATACAATGGTTTCACAATCTCATAGTCAAACACAAGTCGAGGGTGTTGCTGATGCTTTCATTTGTGATACCGACAAAGATGACTTCATTGAGGACGATGATGAGCAAGAGGAAGACGAATTTGACATTGTTTAACTATACAAATCATGACATAGAACCTTGATGTATTTAATACATACTGTTTGGTGTTTAATTTGGTGTTTGATTTGATGATTTGGTGTTTAATTTGCAAAATGTGAAATTCTCCATCATACACTGAGGGTTTTAACCTGTGAACTACTGCTCTGGTTGTTGTTCTGTTCTGGTGCATTTGATTTAGAGTGTGTTCTGTGCCATGTGTCTGCTGTAGTGCTTGTTCTGTTTGTCTGCTGTAGTATAGATACCTGAAGGGCTGGCTGGCTGCTGTCCTTTTGTGTTCTGTTATGTCTGTCTGCTGTTTTGGTGCTTCGAAGGGCTGTTGTAGTGCCTCATCTGGTTTTTATTCATGGTAGTGCTGTAGTGCCTAATCTTTCTGGATTTTCTGGCTTTATTTGTTTTGTTTGCTTTGTGTGTTGGTCTCTCACCAACTAGGAGGTTAGAGCTTGTTATAGATGTTCATTTCTTATAGATGTTCATTACTTTGTAGTGCTGTAGTGCCTAATCT